ATCCGTTTAATTTTCTAATGGTAAGAGACATTAACATGTTGATGACATTAACCGATCTGTAAAATTTTGTTCTCTTAGAAAATAAAGTCTATTGCCAATTTTAGGTCAATAACGGAATGAGCTTGATAACCTTAAAAGGTTGACATAAAAAATTTATTTACAATGAAAAACTTAATTCTTTAGCACTAATCATCATCAAAAAGTGAGGTAACAAGAGAAATCGGAAAATTCCATTTTTTATTTCAAACCATTATAATAGCATTCATTTACATTTTTCCCTTTACCGATCACTTCTGCGTTTGTTAAACATGTTAATGTCCGTTCGTCGATTGACCCTCTTCCATATTAAAAAAGCAACAATATATTTCTGTCAAATCTTACTAAATAGTAGTCCATGCCACTTCTATTTAGCCAAGATTTGATTCAAGAGCATCCCTAGGTAGATCAGAAAGACATTTCCAACTATCTGAATCAAATGGTATATCAAAGTAGCAATCATCGTCAATGAAGCATTCTCCACTCTCTTGAAGTACAATTTCCGGCTCATGGCTTTATGATTTTCTTTTTGTTTCTACATTTACTCTGAATTTTCTATTGTAACATCCTTATATCGCGGAAGATTTGGTTCGTTTTTTGGTTTTACGAACTTAACAGGCATAACTCGGTTGATGTCAAAGACCTCAGATTTGTACTATAAGCTTCTGAAGGCTGTAAAACTGTAAATTAAAATGCTCAAGGTCATTCATAGTCAAGCCATGTTCGACCTCTAATTCCCATTTTGAGGTCATTTTCTGAGTAGGAAATGTTGATCGATTGGTCATTGTTTGTCGGGTGTTGATAACTCATGCTAGCCTAAGGATATGAGCGTTTCCATACCGTTTGTACGAAAAGGCCGGTTAACCTTCAACTTTCCGGATTAAGAGTTATGAACTTGTGACTAACATTAAACGATATGAAAAATTACGTACTCTCAACAAATTACCTTCAAATGTCATTTAGAGGTCGAATAATAGAGTGACTTTGAATGACCTTGCGAACTTGTAGTCCAATCTACGAAAGCTCATCGTTCAAATCTGAGGTCTGTATCAGTAACCGTTCAGGAGGGATACCTTTAAACGCGCCTAAAAGTTAACTTAATAGCCCGGTACTTTGATTCTAAATCATCTTGGACAAATGTTGAGAATAATGAAGCTATTGAACAATTATCAGTAAAAATTTGAAAAATGCAATTAAATCATGTTGACTGTTAAAAGTTTAAACTCATTCACTTCTGCCATCTATCACCTGTCACATTTACACCCAAATTAAATTTAACAATAACCTGACTTTTATATGGAATAACTCGCTTCACCTTGTACTCGAGCTTTCAAATGCATGCTATTTGGCTCAACTTTTCATTTGACAAAATAATTTCAAAAATTTTTCAAAAAATATCTATTCAATTGCCATTAAATTAACAATTTAATACATTTCAAATAAGACTTTATAAAACAGTTTAATGGCTTCAACAAAATTGAACAAAAAAATGATTGTTTTAATGATGGATGAAAGTGATTTCATTATAATTGTCGAGCATTTCAGTGGATGAAATTGATTTTTGTCGAGTTGAAAATTGTTGACAAGAAAAATGTTGAACAAAAGAAAGGTGAACAAAATAATTTACCTTCACAATTGGATACTTTTGAACAACAACAAAAAAGACAATAAGAATCTCTGAAGAGAGCAAAAAATTTGAAATAATTATCTCTCAAGGGTTTCATGCCAGGTTATATTCACAAGTGCTACGTTTATTATTACACCATTTCCCTCATCCTCATCATTTCCATCATTTTCATCTTTCCATCCATAAGAATCTCCAATTCAATGGGTATCAATATAAACTGTTCTCATGAGATTTACTCAGTTTTAATGTTGAAAAAGCAAGGATTTAACTGATCGAATTGCCGAGTGAAGAGACGAACAACAAGAAAAAAATGAAACAAAAGACTTGAATTCATCATCAATTTAAACTCAATCTTTTCCAGTCAAATCATGTAATCATGAATCCATTATCACTTTCAGGAAAAAAAAGACTTGAAAAAAGTATGAATTTCAAGGGTAAACAAGTTTCATGAAATGCTAGTTTAAAATGGATCAACAAAAAGTGTCAAATATTTTTTCATTTACTCAGGTAACAAAACCTGGAATGAACAGGGAAAATGAATTTTTTGCCTTTTCCCTCAACTCTATTAAATTAAACTTTATTATCAAGTCATCATTACTGTCGAGTTCAATTTTCATTTAAAAGTGCGACAAAACTCATCAAACAAAAGGTGGAAAAAAGTGAAATTGAAATTTCGAGCTTTCTTTTGCTCATTTTTGCTGTTCATTTTTTTGTGCAAAAAAATGATTTCATCTTGATATTGATCTTTATTTTTATTACATTTGTATTTATAATATGATATTTGAAAGTTTGCCAAATATTTTGTCGAGCAAAAGTTGAGCAAGTTTGAATGTTAAAGCAAAAAAGGTTCAATAATGTGATTTCAATCAAGTTGTCATATTGTTGGTTGTTGAAGCATTTAAGGTGAAGCAAAATGAAAGATGAAACATTTTGATGAACCAAGGATACAAAAAAGGTTATCACTATTTTTCACTCCCAGTTGAATAGTCTCATGATGGTTCAACTAAGCGATTCTGGATACTTTTCTTCTTGAATCTAGCGTCACTTTCTTTGTGTCCAAGAATGAAAGCTCAACCTTGCAGTGTGAAAATTGAATCAACCTTTTTTTTCGAGTCTCTCCTTCTTATACATTTTATACTCCAATACTCGCTGGGATGTTATTAATTTTTTTTACCTTCACTTTTTTTCATTCTCTTGCTATACTTTTCATGACAACATTTTCATCATCCAACAGTTTCCTTTGCTTGGGAGAAGATGAATTTTTCCTTCTTTTTCTTTGCTTCTTGGCTTCTTTTCTTCTAGCTTTTTGCTGTTGAAACTTTAGGATTGTCATCATCATTATCATCAGTTCCATCATGAAATTTGATACCGTAATTGATAATCACTTTTGAAGCTCATCTTTTTTTTCATTTCCTTAAATTTTGCTCTCAACTTTCGCGGATAAACCATTTTGATTACAGAGTTGAATAAGGTTGAAGCTTTTTCCAACCAATGTGGTCAAAATTGATTGGGAATAAAAGTTGAGTCGTTATGATGATGATTATCATGATAATGACGATGAAAATTATAGTGATGATGATGATTAATTACTATTTCAATGTTAACTTGACACCTCAACTGATTATCCCCTTAATGATATTGCAAGTTGCGGTAAAATTTTAGTTGATAAAGCTTCTGAACTGAATTGAAATGTGAAGTCTCATAGCTAACTCAAGTTAACTACCATGAAATTTACTTAACATTTGCAAGAGTAAGTTAAATTAGCGACAATTTTTCTTGGTTCATTAGCAAAACAATTTGCATGAATTTGTTTAACAAACGCTTGCATAGAATGAAAAATCGATTATAAATTAATCGATTAACAGATTAATAGATTTAAAAAGCGACTCAAATCAAACAGAGTATTGATCTCTCATCAGAAATGCGATTCGATTCCGGAACGCACGGAAAGAGCAGAATAAAATTGTATTTCGAAAAGATTGAAAAAATCGACACGATCGAACAATCGATCATTTTTGCGATTAAAACTTCTTAGTAAATCGATTAAAAATCTTTAAATATCGATTTCAAAATAATCTATGAATATGATTATATTTGATCTTAACTGATCTAACCTAACCAAACCTAACCTAATCGGAATTACTTTAGTTTAATCTGACAATTGGATGACTTTTGAGATGTGCCAATCCAAAGCACGATCGCAATCTGAGTAAAAATAATTTTCCTGTTTATGAGCATTCGATAGCTTCTTGGCAAATCAAAGCAAACCCAAACTAACTGCTTCATCAATGTCAAAAATGTAATAATAGCCTTGGAATTAATATGATCTGTTTTATATGAAATAAGTGTTCATCAAAGATGATAATAATAATTTGCAAATACCTTTAATGCCCTAAAATGAATAGAGTAAATTTTCCTGTCTTATGAAAAGTTATAATATAAGCTTCTCACCTATTATCATAAAAGTTATCACTAAGTAAAAAAAATGCACTAACAATATCAGTTTCATGTGAAAATATTGTAATTTAGATATCACTTTATTATTGTTATTACTTTTATTATAATGCTGGTGATAATAATAAAAAGTCTATTTAGGTTCAATTTGCTTTACTGGTAAAGCTACAAAAAAAGTAACTACAAATAAACATTTGCATTTAAACAGCTTTATACTCCATCTTTTCATCATCTTTGATAAAGCTTTTTTTCATTTCACAAACAAAGATATTATAGCATAATGTTTATACTTTTCAGATGATATAATAGCATTGATAATGATGATAATGCGGAAAATAATGATAGATTCACCACATATACTGATTAAAATTGATTCAAAGTAATGGGTTTCAAGTAGCATGGAAATGCAAAACTGAAACTCATTCCATGACATGATAATAATGGAGTGCTGAGGAGTACAAAAATAACAAGCAATAATAAACATTAAAGGATAATAAAAATCAAAGTTGATTGGAATGTTGAATTGATTCGAAAAGAGGAAAACTTGAAATTGAAACAAATAGCGACTGTTAAGGGAGTGAAAACTGGGATTGAAAAGACGTTTGAATGTTATCACAATGAAGGCGAGTGGTAAGCTCTTGTTTGATGGGCAAAAGGTGGCTCTTTAGGTTGACTCAACTATCAATGAGCCTCATTGTGTTCACACTTTGATCTTTACTTTGGTCAAGAGACTGGGAGGGAAGAGAATGACGATAATTATGTCGATAACTATGATAATGATGGTGATGATGATAGTGATGATTATGCTGATAATTGTTATGAATTTTTTCCCGTTCATTTGATTTCCATTAATCATTGGTTTTGTATTTCTTATCTTGTATAGTTTGGACTCATGATCATATCTCAATGACACTCCCAGACAAAGGGAATGACATTGAAAAGCCAAGTGATAATGATGATGATGATGGCGGTGGTGATGGGGAAGATGGTGGAATCGATGAGGAAGCCGAAGAAGATGATGAAGAGGGAAATAGCAATAAAAATGGAAACATCTTACCGTCAGAATATGATACAGTTGAATCAAATATACTTGGCTCGGGTTCAACAGGGAGTAAAAATGGAAACAATAATAATGAGTAAGTTGATATTTTCACCCATTTTTTTACTCTTCATACTTTTGTTTCACCTTTTCCTTACTTTAATTTTAGAACCAATTTTGATCCATTTTTACTCCATTTTTTCCGGGTTCTTTAACTTGTCACAAAATGACAATTATTATCATTGAAAATATTGTAAAAGTTTCAAAGTATAATCTATCAATTTAGATGTTTTGTTTTCCAATTTTTTGGGTAAACTCAAAACTCTTTGTTCAAATTTCGTTTCAACTTCAAAAGTCACTCTCAAGTTGTTCAATTTAATGATATCAAATGGTAAGATTAAAAGTACAAAAAAAGTAAAAGTTTCAAAAGAGGAAAGCGTAATCACCTTTGAGGTTTTATTTTGTTACCTTGAAACTTGTCAAATTGGCGATTTAAAACAATATCGATTGATGAACATGTTCAATGAAAACAAGGCTGATTTACTGATTCAATGATAATTTTGATTTGTGGTTCTTCAACCTCGAGTAATGAAAGAACCAAAAAACGGAAGCAACTTTTGTTTCACATTTTTCAACTCATGATGAACTTGTTGAACCTTTCAGAAATAATCCTTTCAAGTAAAAAAACAAAAGTCGCAATTAAAAAGAGCTTTTCATTCTTAATTGAATCAAGCAACAGTTTGATCTCAATAACAAAACGCCACTTCAGTTGATCAACAAATCGCTCAAAATTAAGCAAAGAATCAACTCTGAAATCTCTCAGAACTGACAAGAAATTTATTCAAATTGTTCAACTGATTTAGTTTGATGAAGATGAACAAATTGTTGCATTAATATTGAAAGTAATCGATCAACATTTCAAGAGTAAATTGTGATCAAATTAGAAATAAAATTTTCTTTTTTTTGTTGAAAATCATTTTTTCAAGTTTTTATCAATGATTAGTGAGTTACAGTTTTAGGTTGACTTCATCATTCAAAGCAACCTTTTGTTAGTTCAATCATTAATAGTGATTTAGACTTTTCTCAACAATTTATTGATCGTTAAATAGTTATAATCATTTTTTCCGTTTTCACCTTTTTTTCCTCAGTTCCCTTCATTGTTATTGAATTTCATTCATTTTTCATTTTCACTTTTTTCTCGCCTTCTTTTTCCTTCAATAATATTGAGAAAGCAGAATGAAACACTTTTAAATTGCTTTTTACGTGCTATTTTACCTGAAATTTTACTCATTTTCATCATCACAAGAATAAAGAAAAGATTGAGAGTAAATCAATCAAAATATCTTTTGACAGTTTTCACAGTTTCTCATTTTGTAACTCTGTCAGCTTACACATCATCATCACTCTATCATCGATAACCATCATCATGATCATCCTTTCATTTTCACTTCTTTTGTTCAACTTATCAGAGTAAACATTTAAATTTTGTTCAATTTTCACTATTAGAGACTGAAAATTTCAATTAATCCATCAACAGTTGAAACATTCATGAGCGTAAACAGAGAAATGATTGAAGGAAAAAATGATTATCGAAACAATCAATGGATCAATTTTGAACATTCAACAATTGAAGTTTACAAATTTACTGTTTACAAACTGTTCAAACAACATTAAAATAGTGAATCCAGTAAACTTTTATAATGGCTTTTAAAGATTACTTTTCATTAGGTTTTGTCAACTTGAAAGTTGAAAGTTAATAACAATTAAGGTTGAGACAACAAATCACAATTAAACAACGAAAAGCAAACTAAACATTTATCAACATTTACTTTACAATCAACAGGCAAACTGTCAACCATGGATTGACCAGGAAAACTCCTAAAAATCAAGTTCCACAATCAGCCAAAGGTAAGTTAAAAACCATTTAAAAGCGCAATCCAGTGAATTTACTTTCGCTTTTTTGCTCAACTAATCACGAATTACTGTGAACATGAATTCACAATTAACATTCATTTCACTCATATTTATCAATTAAATGTTGATTAAACTCAAGAACAGTTAATGACTGTAAAAATTGTAATTAATAAGTTGATCAAACAGAAGCAACTCTAAAGCATCTCTTAATGTTTCAAATGCATTTACAGTAATGATGTTGTGCTTTATTATAATAAATAAGACGAGAAAATTTTGATCCACTTTTCGTTGTTGGTTTAATTACATTAGAGTAATTTGATGAGCCTTTTAATCATCATTATTAGAGTCACTTTTAATCATATTAATGGCTGTTATTGTAATGATAATCTGGTTAAATTGGGTTAAACTTTGGTAAAGGTTACACTTAAAGTTGAACATTTCATTAAGCATTTTAATTTTACCTTTTTTAATCTCAATCAGCTTTTCCAATAACTTTTTCCTTAATCAAATTGTAATCTTCAATTCTGAACATCATCATTATCATGATCAAGTTCATCATTTTCAACCCATTAAGTTTCAATCGGGCTTTGAAGAGGATAAGATGAGGAGAAAAGGCGAATTTTGAGTTTTAGGAAAATTTAGTTTTTCTTGGGTTTTTTTTTGCTTCTTCCCAATGATAATCATCATCTTTTATTCATTCACTTTCATCAGATGATAATGATGATTATGATGATGTTGGGAATTGATTTGGAAAAGGTGGAAACATCATCAATATGGAATTAAGGTGAATATCAATCATTGAAATCATTTCAATTGGAATCTTCATCTTTTTACTTTTATATCAAGAGTTGTATTTTCACTCCTTACACTTGAACACACTCCAAGGTGACGAGTAAAAAAGGTTGAACTTATAACCCAATCAAGATGGAATGAAAGTTTTCTTCCCTTTCTTACCTTCTAATTTAATATGATTAATGACTCTGAAATAAGTAGGGTTAAAGATTATTACCCGTAAGGAGTGAGAGAGTAAAAGGTAAATCAAGAAAGGATTCCCAGTTTCAGGATGAAATAACAAGAACAACAACTCGAGAAATGTCAATATTATATTATGCCTTTTGCTTTTCGCTCGCTTTTTACCAATCATTTTTGATTCATACTTTCCTATTTCCTCAATCTAATTTATTATCAATCATCCACATTGAAATCAAAATTATTAATCTAATTGTTGATTATAAGCCGTTTGAGTAATGGTTCATGTCAGTCTTAAACGCTTCCTCATTTTATTAGGCTCAAATCAACTTCAAATCATTTAGACGATATGCATGTTGAACCAGTATTTTCATGCAAACTACCCAAGCTTCCCAATAATCAAACACTTTGTTATGCATCATTTCAAACTCAACTAAAAAAGTCATTTTTGGATTCACACTTATTTTTGGATAAATCAGTCTTTTTAGCAGTTTTTCCACTGAGAATGAATTGAAATGAAATATTTTGTAAAATTTTATGATTTTTACAGAGTTTTTGAGCAGTTAGGGAATGAGCAATTTACCCTGAAGAAAAATGCTTGCAAATGGTTTTCTACGCTAGAAATTTTTCGCTACTTGAGAAATGTACATTTTCCTGTGTACAAAGTGCACATGAATAAACATGACCAGAGTCAGTCATGAATTTATAGAAAATAGATTTTTCTGAAAATCTAGATTTTGATCTAGACGGTGAACTATCTTAACGACTTAATGAGTCTTAATGATTTAAGTTGAAATTGTTATTAATTTTGGCGATAAACTTTTAGACAAAATTTTGCTTGTCATAACATGGCCTTTAAGTTGGCTTAGTGTTGAGATGAAATCAAGTTTACTCGAAAGGTTGTGACAATACTAATGAGTGTTTAAGGTCTCGGAAGTTTCTTGTCACAATAATAATGCAAAATAACCGAAAGATGAGACACTATTTCAATTAGACTCTGAACAATACAGTTTAGAGATTGAAACAAGTTTTGAAACAAGAAAAGAGGTTGTATTATTCATCATTTATACTTGTCACGTTTGGATAAGATGAAATGTTTGCTGGAAACAAATAATCTTTGACTATCAAAATAATAGACAATTTAAAGTCGGTACAATGCTTATTAACCTTTCCCAGTTTCTTGTCAAAATGATAATGCAAAGCAAGTTATTCAACTTTAACTCAACCCAAAGCCAGTTTGGTTTTGGAGTAACAAAACCTTTGAACATTTTGAGGAAACAAAAACATGAAAAAATAAATTTCACTCAACTCGATAACTTTATTGATTTGACTTGTTCAAGTCTTCATCTTTACTCCAACTTGATATATACAGGAAAGTTTCAATCTTGCAAGATTCCGTTTCATCTCTCAGGAAATCAATGTTATTCAATATTCATTCCTCATTTCCATCAACCTTTCATTAGTTGATGGCAAGAAAAAAAACATCAACTCATAATTATTGTATCAATTAGAATCAATAGAGCATTTCATGATAATTGAAGTCAATTACAAGATTGCGCTTGAAACAAATCATTTTCAATGAAATTTAATTTTGACATTTTCTTCTGCTCTTCAATACACAGATTCACAGCCTTATTTAAAGTTGATTGGTAAATTGAGAAATGTAACTCGTACAATTGGATCGAAAGTGAGGTTAAAATGTTCATTTCGAGGTTATCCTTTACCAATCATTCGATGGCTTAAAAATGAAGCTCCAATTGAACCGGTCAGAGGTAAATTAACAATCAAATTGATTCCTTCAAATGGAGGAAGATTAACGTCCAGACTGTTAATCAACAATCTGGACATTCATGATACTGGTTATTACAAGTGTGAAGCAACAAATAAACATGTAACTCTGGAAACTCTTGGAATCCTTGTTGTCACTTCAGGTTTGTAACCTTTAATTTATACCTTTGTGTGAGTAAACTTGAAATTTGGCTTCAACAATCTACTGTTAATCAATTTACTAGTAAATATCTGGAAATGGTTAGCTCTAGTTATTGCTTGATATCTTGATATGGAAACATTTACCAATGTCAGTGTTGAGGTTAAGCCTGCAGTTAATTAAGGTTGCTGATGTTAATATATTAATGGTAGCAACAATTTATTAATTTGTTCAACTTAACCTTTCATTGTTTATCCATGTTATTTAGTTTTACTTTTAACTTGACTGATTAAATCATTTATTTGATCATAAATATTCATGCAAACCTGTAATATCAACAGTACACATGTTTGGTTTCTGTAAGTTTACCTTAAGGGTTACTTTAGATTAAAATGTAATTTCCCGTTTTTTTAACTTTACCCTATTTTATGACAATCTACTTCAACTAAAATTGAACATTTAAGGTTTACAATCAAATAGTAAATATTGTAGACTTTAATTAATCTGAAAATGTATAATTAAAGCTATTTTGCAAACCCAATAAGGTGCAAAATGTTACAAGCTACCCAAAGTCAACATTAAATGTGTTAGGCCTAAGCAGTGCGCCTTTGTAAACAGCAAAAGATGAATTGTTTTGATTTTGATTTAATTAATTTTATTTTCTCAATTTTTACTATTTAGATACTGGATCATCAAATTTGTTAAGCAATTCAATACCAATAATCACCGATTATCCAAATTCATTGGGACATTTCAATGGATTTCATCAAACTCAATCAAAACCAAGGTAAGATCGTCTGATGTTAGAAGTCCTTTTTGCTTTTTTTGCATTTAAACCCTTCTCTTTGTTTCAAAATTTGTGATTTGATTTTTACTATTACAATCAATGGTTAAACTAAATGTATTTGCTGATTGATTTTCTCATGAAAACCTGGGTGTGTTGGTGGGGCCAATTGTTTAGGCCTTGTACAGTGTATGACATCGCATTAGGTGTGGTAAGGTTAGGTTTGTTTTTATTTTATTTTGTTTTTTTTCTCTTCAAATAATTGAACTATTTTTCTTGCCTTCTCTCATTGTAATCAAACAACAATCAACTGTATTCTCGATCATTGTGGATGAAGCTATTTATTAAGACAAGAATAGACTTTTCATTGTTATCATCGTCTGCCTATTCATCCATGGAGGAATCAATGGAGATACTCACAGGCTTCAAGCTTAAAGCAACAAAGATTCATCTCCATTGGTTTTTCACCATTGGCTTTACAATTTTTCAGCCTCTTTTTTCATCTTCATTGCATCAACTGTCACTCACATAAATGGATCTTCATTATCATCTTAATCATCATCTTCATTCCCTCCTTGGGCTTATTTTCAACTTCCGTTTCCTTGGTACAGTTTGCCTCATGATTTACTTGATTCCTTGTCTATTCACCAGTGTTACTGTTGTTCATTTTATATGTACCCATAACATACAAATATTATGGCAACAAAAGCTTCAAAGATCATCAACTTTGGATTCTGCAACATTTCCATCCAACTTTTTAAATCTATTTGGCATTATATATGGCAAATGTACAGACATCACTTTGTGTCACATTTTGTTTTGTACTTTAAGACGATTTGGCCTTTAAATCGTTTCCCATTCCCTGACTTTCATCTTAACCCAATTCCTGCTAAGTGATCATGAAAAGACTTGGAATCCATCAGTTTTTACTTGCAATTTTCCTGCCATCCAACATTAAATGGAAACTTCAAGCACAACCTTCATCTTTATCATCTTATTCTTTCATAATTCTTCTCTCTTCCCTGTTTCAACCAATTTTCCTGAAACATATCAAGGTACACATAAACAGTGTCTAATATGGTTTATTACAATCAAGCAATCACTCTCCTTTTCGTAATCAAGGCTAAAAACTTTACAATATTCCGTCAACGTCAATCTATTGAAGCTTTAATTAATCATTTGGGACCATTTAATCATACCATTGATTGTTGCAAGATACAAAAGGCAAACCACCAAGCTGTTCAACAATCTATCCTTACACCTTTCCTTTCACTCAATCAATTTTAATTGCTATTTTTGGAGCCACTGAAAGTACCTTAAACAGCTGAAACATTATGATTATGATGATTGATTAAACAATTTAAAGACATATTCATCAAACCTGGATCCATTTTGGTGAAAACTATTGCTGATCGAGATTTAAATAATCAAAATTCATGGCAGATATTTGCTATTAATAAATAATCATATTGGAATACAATCACTTCAATAGACATTGGAAAGACTTGAAATCAAATTAAATATTCAATTAACAATATTTATTAGCGCATAAATCATTTGAGCAAATTAAAATGAATCGTTCAAGTAAATCTCTCTTGAAAAAATGTGAAGTGACAATTAATTTAATTGAATTAGTAAAATTACTTAACATAATCATATTTACAAGTCAACATTTCCTTAACCTTTCAGTATAACAAAAAACAAACATTAATGTAAATTACTGGGCAAACATTATTCTCAATAATTTACCAAAAAATATAATTTAAATTGATTTTAATTCAGGCGAAAACCTTTTAATCACTTTTAATCCAACATAAATCAGTGTTAATGATAACAAAAGTTAATTACATAAAATACAGTAAAATGGATGAAGTAACTTTCATTAGAGGTTGTTAATCAAGGGTTGGCATTCAGGTTGTCCCGTTAATTATTATAAATTGTTCCTGTTGAAAGCGATCAAGATGATGATGATGCTGATGATGATTACATTAATTCATCATTGAAATACTGTTTTGGATGTTTACGTGAATATTATTACAATTGATTATGAGAGGAAAATATGAAAGGTTTTCCAGATGATTAATGGTTCCTCTGATAAGAAAAGGTTTACTATTAATTTCAAATCATCTACTTTTTCCTCTGCTCGTGAAAATTCAGGAGACTTTTGAACAGCGAATTTTCTCAACAATATTTTCAAATCACAAATTTGCAACAATTTTTCTTGTTTTTCCTCTCTCTCTCTTTTTTACTTTAAAATGTTTCCGCTCAATCAAATTGATGTTTTATCCATTTTCACCATGAAAATGGTTGCAAATGAAAGCAAAAAACAGTTTCCATATTATAACTATAATATATGTTTCTCCTTTTTCCTCTTGTTATTTGTAGCTCATCGAAAGCCATTTTGCCTTCATCATCAACTTTATCACCACCATCATCACCATCAACATTTCCACTGTCACCAGCATTGTCATCATCATCATCCTCAGAGTCTCGTTCAGGACCAAAGTGTAGCCTTTATGTTGGCAAATTGTGTTCACAGTTTATTGGTAATCGAAGTATCTATTTAGAATCGGAAATAAGCCAAGAAATTTTGGAAGAAAATTTGGCTGTTCTCTTTGAAATGATAGCAACATCACACCAAATTTCACATCAATGCCACCGATTTGCAATATCATCCGTTTGCTTTTATAATTTTCCTGTTTGCCGCACTGAACCATCAGGCCAATTGGGAATACGAAAGGTTAGTGATTAACAACTTGTCTTTAAATCCCTAAATACAAAAATCAAGAGAAAGTAATGAGATAATACCAAAAACAACTTGTAGATTGAAAATTAAAAAACATGAAAATTGGTAAACAAACATACCTTGTAAATATTGTCTAATACTCCAAAAGTGTACATCATGAGTGAAGACAGATTTCCTGGATCACATGGAGTACGTAAATATATTAAAGTCCATTCAATCATCAGACTTGAGAGTAAACAGTAACATGGAATGTAGGAACACTTGTTGTTAAGATGGAAAGCATATTGTGACAAGAATAATCCTGGTTATTAGGGTAGAAACGATGGAGATCTTAAGTCTTGGACAAGAACAACCAAAGTAGACTTCATTTTAAACCAGTATTAGTCTAGAATCTATTGAACTGCATTATTTTTGCACAGTCAATCCAACGAGTAGAAACTTGGAATTCTTGGTTCCAACCATGGTCCAGCTTAATACATTCTTGATCCAGCCAGTTAATCGAGGAGAGATATAACTAAATCAGAAGAAAAGGAAAAAAAGAAAAGATAGAAATAAAGGAAACGATACATTTATATAGTGAAAAATGATGAGATGAGGAGTAAAAAAGGTTATTTATTTTTTTGTTTCTTGTTACTTACCTCCAATGCTGCTGCAATGGCCACAATAAAATGAATTGATATAATTTAGAGGATTCACCAGAGGAATCAATGTTAAATGTTTTTCAGGTTTTCACGGGCATTTTACCTTATCTAAACCTGTATTATATGCAATTTATGAGTTACTTGGAATTGGAATATAAGATGAAAAGTAGAAACTGAGAAAATTGTAACAAATAAATCAACTCGAAAGAAAGCAGGGAAAGACTTGCAAACAATTACATTACATGCTTACACACCTAACATATATAATACTGGGAATGGTTATCTTTTTTTACCTTGAGATAAGGTGAATATAACCTTTCTTCCGGATATAAAATGAACACATAAATTCCCTGGAGCAAGCAAAAAACATGATTGATCAAGCTTAAATTGATTTATCTATTTATACTCCACAGTTGTCAATATTTTCACCCATTTCTTCCTCACCCTGTGACTATCAAAGCATCTGATTCAAATCTGGCCTTTGATAACAAATATATTATAAATTTCACATAATAATTCATCTTTTTCATTACTTTTGTGGCTCTTTTGTCCTCACCTCCAATCATTATTACCAGATTTGTCGAGATGAATGTGAAATCTTGGAAAGTTCAATATGCCGAAAAGAGTATTCAATGGCTCGAAATATACCAGTAATTAACGCCAATTTGTTGCCCAAGTGTACAAATTTACCCATTCTTGGAGCTCCTGGTGATTCTGAATGTGTTCAACTTGGAGTGCCATCTTCAGTTCGTCCTCTTAAAGGTATGAAAAACAAAATTTAATCTTCCATCCTTTTTATCACTTTATTTGAACGATTCATCTTTTCCGAGTCATTTTAAACTCATGTTCCCAAATTGCCCCTGAATTTTGTTGAGAAAGAAAAATAAGAAAATATTAGTGTCGGAGAAAAAAATGCTCATTTCATGGTTATTACATTAAAACGAGAAACTTGATATGAAATTGCATTTTTACTGCTAATAATACCCTTGGAGATTATTTGATTTGTTTTGATATTTTTGATTTCGATATTGGCTTTGGTGAGATTTTTTTACTCGTTTCCCTTTCTTCAGTAAACATACAATATTTACATGAATATTTTTTGAAACTGATATCACCAAAAGTCAGCCTCTGTTGAAATTTTCCAACAAACTCTGAACAAGGCAGCCAAAATGTATAGATTAAATTGAGAAATTTAAAACACTTTCAAACCAAATTCTTGTTGTATTATAAACGCTGAGATGTGAAGTCATTTTGTAGATCAAACTGATGGCAAATTATTCAACCAGCTTTAAATACTTGTTAACTTCATTTCCTGAGGTTAAGAAATTGAGTTAATTTCATTTATGGTCATAGTTTTCTGAACCCACTCCATGTATCTGGTTGCAACCCTGTATAATGAGTAACTAGAAATGCTTGAACAAGAAAAAAATGCATCAATCTTGGCTGGATTTCTTTACTCCATGTAAAAAGGTTATGCTCTTGTCAAATGGTTTCGTCTCAAGAGTACAGTTGAAATTGATAGTAATAGCCTGAGGAAATTGCAGAAAAAAGGGAGTTAGAGTTAAATTTTGAGTAAAAAATTCAAATCTTTACGGAATCTTTAATATAAACAGTCAAGTTTATATCTTTCAACTATTAAGGGTAACCACACATTTTTGCAATACAGAATGAGATGATGATGGTGAAAAGTTTCATGATAAAATGTTGAGCATATTATTCCAATAATACTGTAACATAAACTTGATTTTCTTGTTGACATCGTCATCAAATAAGTTGCTTGTTGAACATTTCTATGATATTGATAAAACTTCTTCAGAAGCTCATTATAGTTTAGCAAATAGTGACCTACATATAAAATGATAGATTTGCATAGAAAAGATTTATATTCATTCCACTAATATTTGACAATTTTGAATTTGATATTTACCTTTTTATTCTTATATTGGTTTTATTGATTAATTCCTTTTCTGTCTATATTCATCTAGATGCTCAAGTATGCTTCAGTGAAAATGGACGAGAGTATCGTGGAATAGTTGATCACAGTACTTCTGGACGCAAATGCCTTCCTTGGAGCGTTGGTTATAATACAATTCACTATGAAGAATTGATTGGAGGCCATAATTATTGCCGAAATCCTGATGGAATTGAAGCTCAACCATGGTGCCTGGTTGATGAAAATTTAAGAAAACGCGAATTCTGTGATATACCTCGATGTGGTAAGTTTTCCAGAATAATAAACTCATTAACAGTAAACTCATTCAATTTTTTGTTCATTGGTCAATTGCAGAGGACACATACCGTCTATATTTCCTACTAACACCAATATTGGCAGCCATTTGTGGTTTCTTGATAATATTCATTGTGATCATCTATCGTCAAGTTTTAAACCGTAAATCAAGTGTTGCCAGTTACATGACAACAGCACTTCGAACTGCTCAATACTCTTCACCTATTTCTCCTGTTTTATGTAAACGAAGTCCTGCTCCATTGTGGGTTGAATATGATCCTAATCGTTACTCCGAGACAGTAAATCCTCAAAGTCCAACTCCTTCAAACCAATTGAATCAACTGTCCGATGTTATCTCTGAAAAACAGGGTAAACTTATCCACTATCCTATGAGCTCGATAAAATTTGAGGGTAAATTGTGTGAAAGTGATCTAGGTGATATTTTAATGGGTGAGCTGTTAATACCTCAAGGGGTAGTTGTTCCAGTAGCAATAAGGACACTTCGTGAAGATTCGTCTCCAGCGTTGATTGAAAACTTCAAATCAGAAGCTGCATCTTTGGCTTCCTTACAGCACACAAATATTGTTTGCCTCCTCGGTGTTTGTTTTACTGATAGACCATTATGTATGATGTTTGAGCTCATGGCTGAAGGCAATCTTCTTGGTATTTTACAAGCCTACAACCCTCGTAAATCAAGCTCACTTGGTCGCTCCTCCTCAGCCCAGTCAATAATAACTCTTGAGATTCAAGATTTGCTTCACATATCAATTCAAATTGCAGCCGGAATGGAATATCTATCATCTAAACATTTCACCCACAGAGACTTAGCATGCCGTAATTGCCTGGTCTCTGATTACTTGACAATCAAAATAAGCAATTTTCGTTTAAATAGGGAAGATTATTCAAGTGATTATTATTGTATTCCTAATAATATGTCAGTTCCCATTCGCTGGCTTCCTCCTGAGTCCATATTTTATGAAAAATTTACTTCAGCATCAGATGTCTGGTCATTTGGGGTTGTACTCTGGGAAATCTTTTCCTATGGATGCCAACCCTACACTGGATTTTCCAATGAACAAGTCATCGATTTAATCCGTGATGGTCATCACTTATCATGCCCAGAAGACTGTCCGCCTCATTTCTATTCAATCATGTCCGAGTGTTGGAAACGTGAACCAGGAGGACGACCAACTTTTACTGAACTGCATAATAAACTAAAAGCTCTCCAAGCAGTTGAAAATGTTAGAAGTGCACGGCATGGTTTCCCAAGGGTAGGACCACTTCGTTCTGGTTCTGGTAATATAAGTCAATATTCAGGTTCCTGTTCACCAGCCCATTTAACGCGAAATCCGATTCCAAACTGTCCATTACCAAGCCCGAGGAAAGTCAAACGTCCTTTGGTTACATATAAAGAGTCATCATTTGAAGCTGCTTACTCTAAACTGTCTTTCCCACTTGAAAAATCATCCTCATTTGGTTTTGTATAATATGACATAACTTAATATCTTAAAAATCTGGAAGAAGAACGCACAGAAAAAAATGTTTGTTAATATTGATCAATTCATTTTATACATTGTAAATACAATTAAAGATAAAAAAATTAACCGCCACAAAAAGCCGTTAATATTTAATTGAAAATTGTCTCTTTTCATTAAACACATGTTTATCAATCATCATTTCAAGAAACCAGACATCATTGGTTGTTGAGATGCGAGAGGGAGAAAGAACGAAAGCGAAAGAGAGAAAGAGAAGAAAGAAAGAAGAAAGAAAGAAAAGAAAGAGTGAATAAAATTTACTAAAACAACGGTTCATCTGATCAAATCAAATTACGTTTTAGTTGTTAACAATTACCAGAAACTGAGACAGCCAATCACTGTAGCGTTGCTAGCCTAGGTAACGAAGGCTTAAAACACCGAATTCAATTTGTTGTCACTTTCAGTTATCTTAAATTCCCTTTCTTGCTTGATTATTTAAATTGAGATACAGTTTGATTCCATATTGACTGTTACCTTTTCATCTTCATCATCACTTCCACCACCACCACCACCAACATCATCATCAATTGAAATTACCTGAAAGAACCAAGTTTCACCTTTTGATTACCCAATCTTCTGCTCGTTTTTACAGTTTTACAGTCAATTTACAATTTTACCCGTTCAGTTTTCAGTGTATTTTTTTAATTGTTTTTAAATTCTGCTATTAATACCTTGTGAGTTTTTTATCTTCAAATTTTTTAATAAAAATGCGTGAAATTATTCAAATTCAAACTGGACAATGTGGTAATCAAATTGGTTCCAAATTTTGGCAAGTTATTGCTGATGAACACGGAATTGATGGCAATGGGAGATGTACTGCTATCAATGATCTTTCTAGCAAAGTTACTAATGACCGTACCTCTAAGTTGGAAAGAATTAATGTTTACTTTAATGAAGCCGGAGGTAAGTGTTATCAATTTAGTTATTTATTGCATCATTCGTGACTTTCAAATCTTTACCCAGCTTTACATTAATTTCTGTTTTTCCACTCATTTCAGAGGGAGTCTATGTTCCTAGATCCATTTTGGTTGATCTCGAACCAGGTACAATGGAAGCAGTAAGGTCAGGTCCTTTAGGAGGCATATTTCGACCAGACAATTTTATTAATGGCCAATCTGGAGCTGGTAATAATTGGGCAAAGGGTTATTACACCGAGGGAGCAGAATTGGTTGATTCAGTGATGGACGTTTTACGTCGTGAAGCTGAAAGGTGTGATTGTTTACAAGGTTTTCAGCTGTGTCACTCTTTAGGTGGTGGTACCGGTTCTGGTATGGGTACTTTAATTATTTCTAAAATTCGAGAGGAATATCCTGATCGTATTATGACTACCTTCTCAGTTTTTCCATCACCTAAAGTGTCTAACACTGTTGTTGAGCCTTACAATGCAACTCTCTCAGTTCACCAATTATTGGAGTCAACTGATATGACCTTTGTTATTGACAATGAAGCTCTTCATGATATTTGTTTACGCTCATTGAAACTTTCTGAACCAACCTATGGTGATCTCAATCAATTAGTATCTTACACTATGTCCGGAGTCACAACTTGTCTTCGTTTCCCTGGTCAATTAAATGCTGATCTTAGGAAGCTGGCAGTAAACATGGTTCCCTTTCCTCGTTTGCATTTCTTTGTTTCTAGTTTTGCTCCAATCATGTCAAGAGCTTCTCGTAATTTCTCTAGTTTATCTGTACATGAACTGTCACAACAGATGATTGATTCAAAGAATATGATGGCTGCTTGTGACGCTAAACATGGCCGTTATTTGGCTGTAGCAGCTATTTTCCGTGGTAAAATGTCAACCAAAGAAGTAGAAGACGAAATGACTGCAATGCAAAGTAAAAATTCAGCCTATTTCGTTGATTGGATTCCTAATAATGTAAAACTGCTGTCTGTGATATCCCACCAAAAGATTTCCAATGTCAGCCACATTCATCGGCAATACAACTGCCAGTCAAGAGGTATTCAAAAGACTCCAAGAACAATTCTTTTCCATGTTCAGGCGAAAAGCTTTCCTTCATTGGTATACTGGTGAAGGTATGGATGAAATGGAATTCACAGAAGCACAATCTAATATGGCTGACTTGATTGCTGAATATCAACAATACCAAGAGGTTGGAACAGCCGATGAAGATGAAGATGGAAGAGAAGAAGAAGCTGATTATAACTGAAAATTTCACCAAGTCTTGTTATCTTGTTTCATAAAATGCCCGCTGTTCTGTGTTTAATGTTTTATTAGAAATGAAATCATGGTCTCACTATATGTTTTAATCAAAAACCATTATTTTTAACCATTAAAAATGATTTAATACTAAACAGTTTTACTCCTACATAAGTAATGGAGAAATTAAATTTCATTGAACCATTTGTTATTTCTGTAATTAAAGAAAAACCATTGAAAACGATAAAGAAGATAATTAAACGAGAGATTCTTCTAATAATGAACTTTAGACCCTTTTCAAATTCAAAGCAAAATCAAATTTCACAAAGTCTAATCTCATCAAGCACCATACAAAGAAATCTTTGAACGATAAAAGTATTTCGCTTTTTCACATGAAGCATTAACAAATCCTTTGAAGAATCTAATTTTTCTCTCAATATTGGACTCAATAAAAGTTTGCTGCATTAATAGAAACCAATAAAACTGATTTTTGAAGATACACCGTTTAAACAACGTTGGTGCACAGGGAAGTAATTGAAGTGAAGTCTTTGTATAATGAATTAAACATGTAATAAATGAACTATTTTACGTACCTGTTGCTAAAAATTTGTTCATAGTTCGATTTTTTCCTAACAGCTTTATGGAAATATCTTGGCTACAGCCGTACAGCTGTTCAGCAAAAATCTGTCATGCTGATCATAAGTCATTTTCAGCGGTTAATTCTGCAAAATTTCATTGAAAGGCTAATTCTAATCAATTTTGCATTAATAGATGAAGAAAAATAATCGAATAGCTCGGCCGAGTTGATCAAAACTAAAATAAAGAACCTTAAAATACGTGTAACTAAAAGTAACTGAAGCATGAGAAAAGATTTTCACTTTCTGTGTTAGCAACAGGTTACCTGTTACAGGTAAATAGAAAATCAGGTGATCAGTGTTGTGTTTTGAAGTTGCTTTCAGTGGATCTCTTTACGTAATTTAGTAATTTATCAATTCATTGAATAACAGCTTTTTTCAAACAACTTTTACTAATTTTAACTTTCTATTTTATTTCTAGAGTTTTGTTGAAATTAATGTAATTAATCAGCCAACAACTTTTATTTGATGTAGTTTTTACCAATTTCAAGTTGCCAGTTTGGTTACCTGCTTTCTTTGTTATTGTGTTGTTTTTTCTTTTTAAGCAAATTTGTGATACAATTAACGAGTTGATCCCCCATTGAAATGAAATTAATCATAGCAATCATCAGTTTACTGGTACCATTAATTGGTATTTCAATTGTTTATATCCGTCCTTCCATCAAAGATCAAAGTATTGAGCTAATTTTTTTCCTTGGTAATACAGTCTACAATGGAATCAGAGGATGTAAGTATATCTTTTTATTTGAATTTAAATATTATAAACCAATGAGTACTAATTTCTTGATGTTCTTCCCTAGCTTATCCAGCATCTAAATCAGATAAAGCTGTCAGCAATAGCTGCTTAAATACTGGCGAGATTTTGATGACCAAAGAAGAGCTGGCTCAGTTCAAGGGTGACGGGAAAGAAGCTAAAATTTACCTTTCCTTTCTTGGTGTTGTATATGATGTATCTAGCGGATCTAAACACTATGGACCTGGAGGAGCATATGCATTTTTCTCTGGTAAAGATGCCACTCGTGCTTTCGTTACCGGAAAATTTGATGAAGAAGGTTTAGTGGATGATGTGACTGGTTTAACCGTCGATTCGTTTTCAAGCGTCCGTCAATGGGAAGATTTTTATGAAAAAGATTACAAAAGAGTTGGTCGTTTAGTTGGAACCTATTATGATGATTCAGGTTGTCCTACCAAGGCAGTTGAATATGTTCAATCTATGTATTTAAAAATGGATGAGGAAGAAGCCAAAGCATTGGAAGATACTGACCAATTTCCTCATTGCAATAGTGAATTCCATGCTGAAACAAATTACCATAGAGTCTGGTGTTCTGACATGAGTGGAGGAACAAAAAGGAATTGGATCGGTGTACCGAGGCAGTTGTATGTACCGAGAGACAAGTCTTATCGGTGTGCCTGTGTGAAAGATAAAGGTCCAGCAACTGTTCCAGCAATTGATTATGAGGAAGACGATGAGGTCACTGGGAATTTAGATGAATCTCAAAGTATTGATGCATCATCCAAAACTGATATTGAACAAGATGTTGGAGATCTTAAGCATCCTAGAGTCAAAGAATATCCGAAATGTGATCCAAAGTCTTACGAGTGTGTACTTTCATCGCCTCTTTGATAGCATTGATATTTTTAAAGCGAACTCGAAAGCATAGTATTTAAATGTTTGTCAAATTTCAATATTATTTATTCTCTTGGGCTGTGCACAATTCAAATTGTATTTTATTATTCATTTCAATGCAATTCTTTTTTATATCAATTGTAAAACAACTTTATCAAAAAATGATTTGCAAAAGTAAAAAGTGAAATTTATTAAATGAAATCTTTTCTTATAAATAGATTGAGTTTCAATTATGATTATCTGTGTGTACCTGGTTTACTGGCACAACCAGGACAAAGGTGCATATTCTCGTGAACAAAAAGATCACATTCAATGCAGAAAAAATTTTGACAATGACTACACTGAGAACCTTTGGTTAACTCTAATTGACATGCGAAACATTTTTCGCCATTTTCAAAATCCATTTCGTTAAAAAGATCAACAGGGAACAAGTGATGATAAGATCGTGAAAGATGAGTTGATGAAACTAATGTTAGACCACATGTTTGACATTCAACGGGAAGATCACAATATTTAGATTCACATTGAGGACAAAAGTAGCCTGATGTTGAGAAATTGACGCTTGTAGAGAGATGACAAACACACATTGCCGGTTTACCCTCTCCATCATTCATATAAGGAGGAAATCCCATTTTAATTAAAGATGATTCAGAGTTTGCAGTGGCTGGGGGAGGATTAAGATGCTCGAATATTAAGTCTTTACAATGATTTTCATCCAGGATAACATCATAAGTTCCTTTAGTAGATTTAGCTAGTTTTTGACAAATTTTGACTTCGGCGGCTAAACCAATTACTGAAGCCCTTATATTATATTTGACCAATGCTTCGATTGTCTCGTTAATATCAGATGGATCACAGGTTGTTAATGAGCCGAAAATGACCAAAACTTCTTTACTTGTATGAGCTGGAAGATGTTTTAATGAATGTAAACAAATCTCCAGAGCATTTTGGAGTGATGGTTCGCCAACACAGCTTACGTCCATTAGTTTATTGACAGTGTCCATTAATGCTTTATGATTACCAGTAGATTCAACCATTTTTTCACCTCTTTTATTCCGTGTCACGATGATTCCAATTTGACTTATTGGATTTTGATCGAAAAAATCATTGAGAAATAATTGTAATATCTTCAAAGTACAATAAATTCGTGTTGGCTTCAAGTCAACTTCAACCATTGCTTGAGACATATCTATGACAATGTAAAGATGTCTCATCATTCCAAGACGAACATTTTTACGATCGGTAAGTCGCTTTCTTTTGGCTCGGTGAATCATATCATTGACAGAAGGCTGGAGCAGTCCTTCTTCATTTTCACGAATCGCTTCCCATGTCTTTTCATATTCGGTTTCCCAGCGGTAACCTTTTTGATCGTCGTCTAAATCAATTCTTTCCATTGTTCCTGAATCAAAAGAGAAAACTTGTAATAAAAAATTAAATAGTATAAAGTCACTTAGTTCAATTAATAAATAAAACTTCAACACCAAAACAACTCATGAGAAAACATTTCATCAAAACAACACCTAATTTTAGAAAACCATATGTTGTAGGTGGCGCTGTCCAGCTCGACAGTTGATAGATTTAATAATTTTTGTTTTTATTTACCACATCATTAATTTATTTGTATCTTATCTAATATTTCTCACTGAAACGTGTCCAAAGTAACCTCGGGACACGTTTCACGCGCTTCTATTGTCTCTGGTCATCTCATCACCGATTTCATATTCTTTACCATGTTAATAATTGTTTGTTTCGTTATTCTGTACATTGCCTTGTTGGGTATTTTTCTTACTATTAAACTAAACTCAACGGGTAAACCAAAGATAATTGTCCATGAAGATGAAAGATATTACCTAGATCCAGTCACAGAAGAACGTTTACCTTTTCCTCCGTTAATGAGTGACAAGGAGAAGGAAATACCATCTAAAAGTGAAAAATATTTATCTGTTATTATTCCAGCTTATAACGAGGAGCTTCGGTTACCTTCTATGTTGGATGAGGCTCTCGATTATTTAGAGAGACGATCAAATGAAACAATCAATCAGTCATCTAAAGTAGACTCTAAAGTGAAAGATGTTGGCACATCAGATGTTACATGGAGTTGTCCTAAAGGGGAAAAGTTCACATACGAGATTATTATTGTTGACGATGGTTCTCGTGATAAAACAACACAAATTGCTCTCCAATATTCACGTAAATATGGGACAGATAAAGTGAGAGTTCTGACAGCAACCAAAAATCGAGGTAAAGGAGGAGCAGTTCGTTTAGGTGTCCTCTCTGCCCGAGGAAAATTGATATTGTTTGCAGATGCTGACGGCGCAACTAAATTTGGTGATATTGAAAAATTGGAAAATTATTTGTACCAATCGACAGACAATGAGGTCGACTTAATCAATTCCATTGCAATTGGATCCAGAGCTCACCTAGAACGACAAGCTATGGCCAGTAGATCTATTTTTAGAACTATTTTGATGCTTGGTTTCCATTTTGTGGTTTGGTTTTTCACAGTACGTAGTGTTAAAGACACACAATGTGGATTCAAAATGTTTGGTCGAAACATTGCTCGTATTCTTTTCAATTACATGCATGTGGAAAAATGGGCTTTCGATGTTGAACTGCTTTACCTTGCTGAAAGGATTAATTGTAATATCGGTGAAACGGCAGTCAATTGGACCGAAATTGACGGATCAAAGATTGTACCAGTATTCAGTTGGTTACAAATGGGAAAAGATGTACTGAGTATTTGTATGATGTATACCATTGGAGCTTGGACATTCCCCGTGATCAAGGATAAAGATATTAAAGAGAAAACGTTTTAGGTTAAATAATTTTTGTATGACGATGAATTTTCCAAAACTGTTTTTATCGAGATGCGAAAATGATTAACGATTTAATAAATACATCTTGTTTAATCTTTGTCTTTTAAAAGCAACATTTCCATGCAATCCTCAGCGGTTAATCTAAATCTTGATTCTTGTCAAGCGGGAAAGTAAAATGAAATTGATAATTTTAGATAATTAGAATGGATATTTTCGTGTACATTTAAAGTTTTAACAAGCAATCAGGATACAAAGAACATAAGAATAAATAAACAATAAAAATGGTTGCTTCAAGTCATTGTGTTACAATGTGATGTGAAATACAAAAACATTGGAACAGTACTGAAAAAGGGAAAATCAGGTCGCATTAATGTGAGTTTCAATTAAAAACAAATGAGATTTCAATCGTTTTCTCCAGATTGGTTCGTTTCAATTAACTTTTGAAACATTAGCTCCAGAGGTTTACATTTAGATACAATGTCATAATTGCCTTTAAGAATACTTTTCATTTCGTCAATAAATTGGTCCAACCTTTTAATTTCATCTTCTGCCCGTCTTTCGTTCTCTTCCCAGATGGCTCGATGTTTGATATACCTTTTATCCAATTTATCAAGTTCATCATTTCTATCTTTAACCTCTTTCCCGAGGCTCTCAATTTCATTTCTAAAGTAGGATAAAAAAATAATGAAAAATGATTAGTATGATTGCCCAGGTAAACTGGTTCCCAAAAAGATAAGTGAATAAAATTTTGCTAATATTTTAGTAGCATTTGGAGCCCAAAATAAAGATAAACTTACTCTAATGATTGAATCTTGTTGTATGCTTGTTGCAGTTTGGCCTCAATCTCAGTGCGAGTGATTATCTCCTTCGCCAACTGTTCCTCGAATTCTTTCTTGTCTTCTTCAATTATTTGTTTTTCACAGTTGAGATAATCGATAGTCTCTCGAAACTCGTTATTTTCAAATTCAAGCTCTTCATTCTTTTTCTGCAGTCTTTGAATTTCTTCAGATAAAGTCTCATAGTCTGCAGAACAGAAACGAAAATTGAGGGAAAAATTACAGGAAAAAGAGACAAACAGACGGTTAATGTACAATGGTAAATTGAAATATGGGTAGCAAGACGAAATTAAATATAAATATGATACATGGTAATGAAAATACAAACAAGCATACCTTTAGTAATCTTTGATCGAAGATAGTTCTCCTTTAGGGCGTTCATTGAGCTTTTCAGCTGAATATCTTTCAACGGATTGGCGAATGAAGGTGAAGGTGGAGTGGTGATGGGGGATAGAGGTTTAGGCGATTGTGAAGGTGACGACATTTGGGCACTTGGTCAATCAGATTAAATACAATCACAGTTAAAGGATTCACAAAATGAACCATTTAAAGACACTTTTAATAGTTAACGACCAACAGAGTAGCAAGATATGTACACCAGTTTCAAACCAAATGGCCCGGGAAAACAACTGTTAACCATTAACAGTAAAGGTAGCGCTTCAATCACCATTGATCCCGCAATATTCAAATACATAAAGTGTATGTTATAACTTATAAGTTATCACGAGTCTCGATTCGATTTCTTCAATTACCAATTGACTTAATTCAATTTTTTCGTGATATATCAATTCAAAAATTCAATGTCAAAAGATTTTATTTTAAATATTAGTAGAATATAAATATAATAGTTGAAATAGGATGATTTGAATAGGATTAATTGTTGTAAATGAAATATAGATTTGATTACTCGTAGTGAAATGTTTATTGAGATGACATAAGAAGCCGATATAAATTAGATATTAGAATCTATTATGGTGTCCGGCTCAATGAGTCGAGACTTTAAATGAGAAACTTTTATTGAGGCCAGAACCAATCAAGTCAATTCTTTTAAAAACCACATAAATAGAGATTGAGAATTTTTTGACACATCTTAAACCCTTTACACACTGGTAATTCACAATTAATTAGAAAAAATCGAAAAATGGCAATTTTGTAAATCTCGAACTCTGTGGCCATATAGGTTGTTGGTACCAATGAAAAATTTTGCAAAGTCATTCCATTCAGTTATAGTACTTGGGTTGATTAAAAATCACTTTTATTCAATTTTTCTCCTGATCCCCAAGTTTTCGAGAAATGTTCGATTAAAAAAGATTCCATCGCGAGCAAATCACAGGGAGCCCTGCATTTGATAAAATTTTGAGTCGCACGCAATTTCATTTTTTCGACTCTTCCCAATAAAGTTCGAGTTAGTAAATGATAAATTATAGATGCGCGTCAAACAAATTCTGAATCTTTATATGATTTTCAAAGCTCACGCTAAATTATCCGAACAAAAATAAAAAATTCACATTTAAATTACTGACACATTGAGCCGGTCAACCTAATATTATCGAAGCAGAAGTATAATATAGATAGGAGCATAATATTAGGTACATGGAGACATGATTTCAATCGAAATCATATCTCCATGTACTCAAGAAAAGATGATCCAGCTTATTGTCACGGGTTCTCAGATAGAGTTGAGGTTGACCATTGAATAGCTGAACTACATGTCTCTGAAATCAACCTATCAAATCCATAAGAATTTGATATGCTGTTTATCAAATAATTAATCGTCATAAATAAACTTCTATCAGTATTGATATAGTTTTCTGATTACTCGAGGTGAAATTTTCATTGAAATGGCATAAGAAGCCGATATAAATTAGATATTAATTACTGCAAAATTTTACATGAAATTTTAATCATATAACATAAATGAAACCTGCGAATCTGGAGGCGAATCTTCGCACGCATTAATAATTATCAGATTAATTCATTAAATTATTGTTATTTCAAGTTGATTTCTTATAATTTTGTAGTTAAACAATGTGGCGCATTTACTGAATGTCTAGCAATTAAATACAAATGATTTAAAACACAATGACCTTCATGTCATGTAGCAATGTTTACCTTTTTGGTGAATATCTGGTTACTTATCTCACTGCCCCAAGGATAAACCTTGAATTGTCGTCTTTCTTCGATAATTTAGGTTTTTATAAGATTAATTGAGTAAAACAGTTAATTAAATGCTCATTTGTAGATTGGATTTTTATAAAAAATAATTAAATCTGCTTGAAAAGTGGCAAAATAAAAATAAATAGAGTAATAAACATAGGAGTTTACATAGTGTATTTAAGTCGACCTTTAGCTTGACAACTTGAGGTCTCCGAGGTGAAAATTCATTTAAAGATGAAAATGTTCAGAGTTGTGAGGTAAAGTTGATGTTGTTTAAGGTAGATAAAAAATAATAAGCAAGATTTAACCAACACTTGATTCAGTTACTAGAAAAGTTTCATCATCTTATTCACCATTTAATCAATTTCCGTGGTAACCTGAAAGGAATCAACTTATCAAAATTAGCTGAATCTAATAGTTAGTAAACCAAGATTGATGTGGATCTTGAATAGACAAACCAAGTTACCAAAACAAATTGCTCCAAACAATTTTGATCCTTATAATCATATCGATTCAATCCACAAATTTATCAATTATTAAACCAGAATTGAGTTTGAATTCCCTGAAAACTTTTACCTGTCAGACTTGTGCAAATTCAGCAAAAAAGGTTGAAATGCTGCATTCATCATCTGACAAGTGATGATTAATTGATGTAAAATAAAGTGACATCTTTTTTTGCTTACAGTAAATCAATTGGCAAAAAATGTGATAATTTAGCGCATTTGAAATGATTAAAATAAATTCAAAATGTAAACAAAATCTGGTAAAAAAAGCCTAAATTAATTAATAAAACTGGCAAACTATTAATCTTCATTGAACCATTTTGTCTGTTATTGCTGTAACAACTTGATGAGATGAATAAAACATCCATTGAATATTGTGAGTAATCAGGTGTGATGGTTAATGACTTTTAATCAGGTAGTATTAGCAGATTGAAATCAGTGAAACTAACATTGTAAATCAAATGAGTTAAACAAATGCAATTAATGTTGCTCTCGAGTCAAATTTGCTTTAAAAGGTTAACATGGTTATAAGCCATTATAAATGTCAATGTCCGAGGGACTTTGTACACTTGAATTGACAGTCAACCTGAAATGGTTGGAGTTGTAAGGTCAGTAAACTGGTTACAAGATCAAATGTCTATGGAATCAAGATGGTGACCCTTTTTTTGGATTAAAATCAACCGTTTAAAAATATAATATCAAGTTCACTAACATGCAAGATTAATTTACGAATTGAAGGTTTAAAAACTGTTATCAAAATGTTTCATCTTGTAAAGGATGAATTCAATGTTGGGTGAAAATGTTTTCTCGGAATAAACAGTTTTATACAATCTTTTTCTTCAGATTTCATGTTGATGAGTTCAACAGTGAGCCTCGAATCTCAGATTTCAATGGTTAAATTATACAAAAAAGTAACATTATGATCTTAAACCTTCAACAGTAGTCACAAAATTCAGTTGTCACATCGCAACATCAACCAGACATTTATATAAGCTGGGAATCTGACTGGATTTCATTTCATGCTTTGCATCCATGGAGGATACCACTTGGGTAAATCAATGATTGTTATTTAAAGTTGATTATAAATACTGAAACATGAGTCAAAATATTCTGTAATAATATTTCAATTTTAAATGATTTCATGTATTTAAGTTGCTGCACAATAAAAATGTTTTAAAACACTTAATATTTACGTAATGTTTGTTATTTTTTGAGGATTGGTGTGGATTGAGGTAGGACTCAATGATAATGAATGACAGGAAATCGGTTTTTCTTCTTACCTCAGATTTCTCAGCAAATTATTTACTATTAGTATATGGTTAGTAGGAATTTCATAGTAAGAGCTTTTCAATCATTAAGGGTTGACTCAATCCGGTTAATGTGGGAAATGGTGAATGGTTGGTGGTTGTGTTGGATAAAGCCGGTTCCGATGATAGCCTGATGGTTAGCAAACAATTTTGTTGTAATTTAATTATCGGTTTAATTTATAGTGATGAGTTTAACAATGAATCTCGAATGTCAGTAATTAATGAAATTTGATTTTTGAAAAATGTTTTTCTCAACATTTAAGAAAACAAAAATGAAATCGCAATTGATACGAGTAACAGATATAAGATATTTGAATAGAAGATATTAGATAAAAGATAGATTCGCTCTCTAAACAAATAAACAAGCCAAATTAAAAGTAAACAATCTATAAATTAAATTGTTTTCATATTTACAATACATGTATAGTTTTATTTCTGTATAAAAGTGAAAATCAGTAAAACATTATTTGCAATTTATTTGGATGGGAATAAAAACAAACATGTAACTCAATTAATTTACAAGTGTTAACCTAACATTGGATTGACAAAAACAGTTTACCAACATCAACAAGTTGCTGCTTTTTATTACTGGCGAATAACAACTTGAAGGAAAAGTTCTATACATTTCTGCTGAATACTGGTTTCAGATATGATTGCCATTATACAATTGACTGTAATTGGCGTATATTGTACCCAACATTTTGACAGTCAAGATTAAAGCTCCGAACAATGTGGATCCTCTATACTCTGGTCGTTGCTGCTATGGATGGGTAAATGACGATGAAAGCAAAGATGAAAGGAAAGATAAAAAACATAAACTCTTCCAATCCAGACTGCTTGGCGTATTTTTGCGTTATGATAATGTTAAATGATGTCAAATCAAAGGATATAAGAGAAAGCAAAGGATGAGGATGATTGTACTAACCAAGACCTTGGAAAGATGAAACTTGGCAACAATTTACAAAGATATAACAGATAACAATCATCTTGGAACGTAAAAATCAAGTTTCATGCATTATTTTAATGGTTGTACTGATGAAGACAATCAATGAAAAGAGTTACAGATGACTCTTATCCATTGACGCCTACCTTTACAAAGAATCACCAAAGACTATCATTTTTTTCTGCATACTTTTTATCTTCATCTTAATATTCCAAGAAAATCAATTCAAGTGTGAAAAGATGGATCATGATAAATGATTTGAGCAGCAACAAAATCAACTGTTCCATTCAACAGTGTGAACCGTAATAACAATTAAAGCCTAAAGAATTGTAATAACAAGGAAAGGTTAAGAATTAACATGGATTGTATTATGTTCAACCTTTTTTCAAATCATAAAAGGTAAAAGAGAAAGGTGGAAAAAATAAAATATCAAATTATGAAAGGTAAATTAGACTCTAGTCGTAAAGCCTGTTATGAAACGAGATCACACATTGAGAGTATTGTCGTTACTTTGTTTTGCTGGGATATTATTACAACAATTAATGTTGGATTCGTGATTATATCTGTGAATAGCAATGTTATTACAAGGTGATTAAATGGAAGCAATTGAATTACTCAATCTACAACTACTTGCTGCAATAAATTAGGCCTTTACATTGAATGCATAACAAATCTAACCTTTTTTTTACTTCTTCCTCTTCAACCCAATGATAATGACGATGTTTTTTTAATGAAATTGAATGATTGCCAAGAATAATAACTTCTTATGAATACCAGCAATACTCTTGTCTCTACTTTTCCAGATCAACCTCAATGTTAGATATTTAACTAGACTAACCAAAAATAACCCAAAAAATGAATTGAATAAGCAAAAACAAAAGAGGGGATCAAAATGTTTTCAACCCAAAAACTGTAAGATGAACAAAATTTGGGTCCCTAATAACCATTCTGGTAATTGGCAAAGTAAAAGCTAATGGCAAAAAAAGATAACAATGAAAGTTAAAGAAACAAAAATATTAAAATGTTTATCATGAAATTTCCAGTGAATCCAGTCAATCTCCTCCTCAGAGTAATTTAAAAGTACTAATTGTCCCTCCTTTAACCCTCCTTCAACAATAAGGCGGTAAATATCGAGTAACCATGAAAATGAAACCCTTTCATCCTCTAAATCCATTTCTTTAAACCAACATTATCTTGTCCCATTGCCTTTGAACCCTTTGTATGTCTTTTTTATTTACATGGAAAAAAAAGTGACAGCTTTTTGTTTCACCGTAAATTACATCTCCATGAATACAGCTAATAATAATGAAGATTGTGGTGAAGATGATGACGATGAAGGAGACAATAGCTGTAATGAGTATAATTTTTCATGTGACTTTCAACAACAAAAAATCAACTCTAGTAATAAGTCATTCAACCTTCAATTTTGTGCTATGATAAGGTGCGACTCGTTCACATTCGCTTCAGTCCAACATCAACCTTAACCACCAAATCAACAATTTACTCATTCTCCAGTTTAATCATTTACTTAAGCCTCATTTGGTGTTTAGTGTTGTGTTGTGTTTACACCATTTAGACCCGGAATTTATTTGACATCCACAATGACCATTACCTATTCACTGAACGTTGCCAACACCCAGCTAGCTGGATTTGCTAAGCTGTTGGTTCGCTGGAAAGGAAGCATTTATAAACTTCTATATCGTGAAATGTTGATCTTTTGTATGTGCTATTATAGCCTCAGTCTAGTTTATCGTTATGGGTTAACAGATCCCCAGCGTAGGTAAGATTGAAATTTGCTTTTATCCATTACACCATTTCCCATCCATTATATTCACCAAGACAGTCTAACCTTTGTGACATCTTGCTGATCTGGTCTTTCTGTTGATTTGACCAGAATCAATAGTGTCAATTTACTTTGTTAATTTGGGTCAATCAGACATTTTCAACAGTTTCCCTCAGTCATTTCAACTCGGTGATAATGCTGTGTTTGATGGTAATCTCAGTTTTTCATGTTCAATCTACAACTTCACTTGATTGGGTTACAAATGTTGTCTTCAAGGTTTACTTTTGTTTTTGATTTTTGTACTATCAACGATTGACATTTTGATCTCACATGGTAAACAATCAACAACATTTCTTCTTGTTTGCAATGATGATTAAATAACAAACAAGCAGAAAAATTTACTTTAACAATTGAGCTCGTGTTTTTATTGATGTAGGTATTAGAGTTAAAGGCTTAACTCAGGCAAAAACAAAACACTGGAAATGACATGGTTTATGGGATTGCTATGAAAGTAAATTGATTAGCTTACAGTTAATTAGTGTAAGTTACTTGAATTACAATCAATCAAATATTAAAGATTAACCTGTTAAGATGCTTGTTGTGTCAACTAATTATGATTTTTTTCATCTCAAATTGTATTGAGGAAGAAAATGAAGTCTGGATTAATTTGATTAAAGTTGATTATTAAAATCATTGGCAGGAATATGGTAAAATTAAATTTAGGTTAGTTAGTCTATTGAATTAGAATGCTATTTTAAACCTAATTTTAAGTTGCTTCTAGTTTAGGTTTGTTTATGGATACAAAATGAATTGATATGCAAACAAGAAACGTTTCATTCCTAATCAAGTTGATTGAATTTAAGGCGAAGAAATAGACTGATTGAAAGGTTAAACATTCAAACAAATCAATCAACAATGAAACGAATATTTATTTTAAAATTTATTTGCTTTAATTTCAAATTTTCAGCCGATTAAAGCATAATTTGAATATTAATTTTCCTGAAAAAGGAAATGAAAAGCGTTCGATTCATCGATTGATTATTTGTATTACAACAAATAGACAGACGATATCAAGATAAGAGGTTATACAAGACCATACGAAAATAGTTGGGAAGCATTTTAAAATCTCTCAACGTGATTAATATTCATTTTAATTTCTTTTTAATCAACAATCAAATGTGTATTTTAAAATTGTTAATTAATAATTTCCTTTCTTATAATCATCTTATTATCATCTTATTACAGAGTATTTGAAAAAGTTGCTCTATATTGTGAAGCCTTTACCAAGTTGATTCCACTTTCATTTGTGCTTGGTTTTTACGTTTCTATAGTGGTTAACCGCTGGTGGAAACAATTCTCAGCCATCCCATGGCCTGATGAGTAAGTAAATTATCAATAAATTTATTAATATTTCATGAGTAAGAAGAAATCCTAAGAAATAGAATTTAAAATCAGATAAAACGGAAAATTTCAAACCTCTTCTTCCACTTACAACATTTGTTAAACAATTTCTCACATTTACTTTGTTTCCCATTTTTGCCTTTTCATCTTCACATGTTACCTAAAATTTATGAGAAATTTCATGAAATAGGTTTCATTTTTTCTGGATCAAACGAAACTAAATTGTTACGAGCAAATTGAAAAGTCTAGCTGTCATTTGCATAATTAATAAGATATAAATATCTATAGCTAGTTTTATTATTTAAGATAGAATCACAAGAAGAGATCAAAATCTCTCTGTTTACTTGAACAATGATTTTTTATTTATTGAAATTATTAATATTTGGTTATGAAATAAGCAAGAAACACTTTTTAATCTATGTCTATTTTTTCAATTATTAGTTTGTTATTGATGATAGCAGGATATATTCATGGTAACGATGAGAGAGGTCGAATTATTCGGCGAACATTGGCTCGTTATCTATTATTGCTGCAAGCTTTGTGTTTCCAGGCCATTAGTACATCGGTTCGTAGACGTTTCCCTACTCTGGACCATCTTGTTGAAGCAGGTTTAATGACCAAAGAGGAGAAACTTGCTTATGATGAAGTTACCGGGACACATGGTAAATGGTGGCTTCCAGCCGCCTGGTTTACCAATTTAACAATTCGAGCTCGTAAAGAGGGTCGCATCAAGGATGACATTTTAATGAAGCAAATATTAACCGAAGCTTACCGTTTTAGATCCATGGGCGGTGATTTGTTTGCCTTTGATTGGATCTCAATACCTTTGGTTTACACTCAAACAGTTACCATTGCTGTTTACACTTACTTTTTTGCTACCCTTGTGGCTCGACAATACCTTGACCCAGCACAAGGTTACTCAGGCTATGATATTGACCTTTACGTACCCATATTTACAATTTTAGAGTTTTTCTTTTTCATGGGTTGGCTCAAGGTGGCTGAACAACTGATTAACCCTTTTGGTGAAGATGATGATGATTTTGAGTTGAATTGGATACTTGACCGTAATCTGGTTGTCTCTATGATAATTGTTGACTCTATGTACAATAAATTTCCTCGTCTACAACGTGACTCTTACTGGGATGAATCTTCACCTACCTTACCTTACACTAAATCATCGATGGGACTAAGAAATCAACCTTACCTTGGATCAGCCATTAATTTGGAAATTAACTCAGAAGAGAGTGAATTTATTCCTCCCTCACTGGAAACCATTATGGAGGATGAAGTTGACCCGATGACACAGTACTTGACTCCTCCTAACAGTCCTAGTGCTGATTTAATGTCAAACTTAATGTTCAACACTCAAGATCAAGAAATGGACTATCGACAAAATCAAAGTTCATCTGGTCGTCGTCCACCATCTTCCATATCACAATCAGCCTTAAACATATTACCAGATTTCATTGGTTCCCGAATAACCAACATGATTCTTGGTTCATCTGTTGAAAATGTTTCCGCAACAACCTTGAAACCAGGATCTGTCGGAACGGAGAAAGGATCTTTCCCAAACTCTGGATTGCATTCATTAAATACTTCATTTAGCCTGAAATCTCCTCGACGTCGAACTCGCAAGGTTTCCATCAGCAATAACATTAACAATGCAACACTCAAAGGTTCAGTATCTTCATCACTTTTCTCAAGAGATTCAGTTGAAGATATTGTTAACCGTATCTCACCTTCACCTAATCATGCTCGACGAAGCATAATTAATCGATCAAAATCAGGAAATCAAGATGACCAGCGATCACTGGTTATTGATCTGACCGATGGTTTATCACTGCAATCTCAATCAACCATTTCCTCATCAACAGCAGCCGGTCAACTACCTCAACCTCGCACTCGACCTCAATCAGTCTCAATGGATGAATCATCTTATGGTTTGAATTACAATTATGGTAACAACAAATATCCATACATAAATTACCGAAGAGATGATTATGGTAAAGGTGATGATGGAACCTCAAGCTTGGGTAAGTTGAAAATCAATAAGCATCTATCAATCGTATAATCCTAAATAATTTTCATGTTAAATAACATTTCCTTGTTTTCTTTTCCCAATCGTATTTAATCTAAATTATTAGTTTATGAAAGTGACTTGATGGACAGTGATGATCCAATATCAATTAGGAATCTGGATTCTTCATCAAACCTACCTCCAATACCTCCAAATCACCTGCAATCTTCATCAAATTATCAACCAGTGAAAGCAACAAATGAAGATAATGGAGAAGATCCAGGTTTACCCAAAGAAACCAGTCAACAATCAGAACTGGAACATTCTGAACCAGTTTACGAACCAACCTCATCACAGGAATCACTGTCACCGGGAAGCAATCAGTCAACAGTGACAAGCATAACTCAACTAATTAGTAAATCAACCAACGATTGACTATAACAGGAGTAAAGCAAAATCCAAAAGAAACTCCAAAGGAAAATGAAACAAAAACCATTCAATTTTCATTATTTATTATAAAATCAATTCAATTCTCTTTTTTTACATCCATACTTGCATATCATTGTTAAACAAAAATATATCACTAAAAATATCGATAAAAGCTCAAAAAGATAAAAAAATATATAAAATGGAAAATGTTTCCAGAATAATATTAAATTTGATAAGCACTTTCACCGTGAATTTAATGAATTTTTCATGAATCTTTAAAAGAAGGTTGATTTTTAAAGGCAACAAAAAACAATGAGCCAATTGTTTTTAATCATCATTTCTTGCATTGAAGCAATTCCAGTACACAATGGATTGAATAGCTTTTTTGCTCTCTTTTGATTCCAGTTTCGCCAAAGAAATTGAAGGCCCAGAATTTAATCATTTAATATTCGTTGACTTTTGTTTTATACATAAAAGGTTGATGTAATTTTGTACTCTTAATTGTAAATGAAAATCAATTTACTAAAATCTCAACAGCTTGACAAACCATTTAACAAAAAGCTGTTAGATATATAATCAAATGAACCATTAAAAGGTTGATAACACTAAATAACTGACAAACCTTGATTAATCATTGAAGTTTCCAGTATTTAAGTGAAATATGATTACAAAAAGACCATTAATTTGTGTCTTGAAAAGTTTATTCATCTAAATTGAATAGACTTGAAATTGATTTTGACTTTTTTTTGGGTTTTTCTGCTCTTAAGGTAGGTGAAGGTTGAGTACATTGAACTGAACAATTATCATGCTGAAATGGAGAGATAATGATAAAGATGACAATTCGATTAATTTATTAAAGATTCAACATTAAAGGTCGAAAGGAACCCAATCATTTGTACATAAAATGTATACATCAAATTTGTTGAAGCAAAGTTGAATTGAAAATTGATGTTGACAAAAAAGGTTGTCTAAAGCCTTCTAACAAGACGATCAAATTTTCATTTTTTCACCTTTTTTCACTCTTTATTTTGTTGCTATTTAAAAGTTTAACCATTCCAATTGTATGGTATTAAATTTTAACAACATTATTGATCAGCTGTGTTAAATATGTGATAAAATTTGTATTCAATTTTCATCTGAAGTTACTCTCAGTTCAAGTGCATCAAATGTGTAATTCACATTTTGAGTGAAAAAAAAGAGCAACAAAAAAGTAAATGTTCAGAATATTACATTCAGTAAAAATGATGGTAATAATGTGAGTTATCCAATTATTGAAGACCAATAAGATTTTTGAAAGGATATTGAAGGTTATCATGGATTTGATAAAGATTCAAGACAAACGATAAAAAAAGCATTCTAGATTCCTTAATGGCAAATGAATAAGATTGAACAATGAAAATGAAGGCATAAAATGGTTGTAATGAAATTGTTATTTTCAATTGAATAACCTTATTTTATAAGTCTAATTTGGGTTAACTTGATCCTAAATTTTCACAATTTTAACCCTCAAGGCTAAGGCTTTTTTTGATTGTTAAATCAGTAAATATTAATAATTGTACTTGATTTGACTGAATGGATGTAAAGGTGAATTTCAATGTTGGACTTGATGGCTTTAGTTTCTAGCAAGTTCATTAAACTTGAACAGTAAAGGATATTGAACAGGGTTTTTTGGGATCAACATATCATTATTATTATTAGGCTTCTGGATATTGTTATAAGATATTTGATCCATGAAGAATCTGGTGAATTTGTATTTTCATTCATTCCTTCTTTCAACTGAATAATGCTAATCAAACGGTCATCTTCATTTTGATCAATAAATATATTTGGTTCATTGATATGTATGGCATTGAAGTTGAAAGGTAAGATGATGAAGCTTGCTGTGTTAAGGTAACAAAATTATCTTAATACACTTGATTTGTAACTTAGAAAGGCTAATCATAATCTATTTCATATCCTATTTACAGTTAATGGATGGATTCACCATGGACTGTATTATTGGCAACATTTAGAAAGGTATTCAACAGAAATCTTTTCAGGCTTATCAATTCATTGCAGACAAAAAATTATAACCTATCTAATAGGCATAAATATATTTCATCAACGGTTATTAAAATGAGCAACCACTTGGAGTATAATTGTTTGTTAAATAGATGTTAAATTAGGGTTAATCGAAGCATTTCCAGCGATCAAACGCATACATAATAAACCTTTCAACAGTTTATTGATGATAATTAAAAATGGCGCTTCAACTAACATGCTTAATGTAAGGCACTATCAGCTGTATTAAAGATTAGCTTGCTCAATGTAAATTTTTTGTTACAATTCAGTGTTTCCATCATCAATAACAATAATGTTTTCATCGTTATTCTTAATTAGGACGTAAGTAAATTCATTTTCCACTGGTTTAGATTATAAGCAACAAGTAACTTGTTATATTAAAAGACTAATTACTATCTTAAATATTTTTTTCAGCAGAATGTGTTCCCGATGTAAACTTGTAATTTCAATGGATATGCTTCGTTTTGATGGTATAATTTTCTGCCTTTGACAAAAGAGTTAATGAGATGATTTTATTCAAGTGTATAGTTCAATTCACATCCTGCTATGATAACAATGAACGCAAGGATAATATAAAAAAAGAAATTACAGTGCAGTCTGATTCAGAGCTTGAATTGTATTGGAATTCTTGACAGTTTTATACCAATTTCAACTGATTCCACTTTAACCTTTCTAATACATAAGGAATTCAATTATATATTATTTCCCTTCTTCCTTAAAGTTCATTGGAAGTTCAGAAATTGAGAATGAGCCCGATATAAATTGTATAATTGCTTTTAATGAAGAAAAAGAAGGAGAAAACTTTATAAGTTTATATTATTGGCTTTGGATTCGCTTTCAAATATTTACTCCTTACTATGTATTTTGTTTTTTGGAGTGAAAAAAGAACAGAATGATTGGATAATCATTAAGAGTTCAATGGATTGAGATGCAATGAAATCAATAGAGATTGTTAATCTATGTCTAAATTTGCTCTGCATGGTTGAGAAACAAATTTTCAATTTAATCAATCACACCTAAATCTAATTCATCTCAACTTGCCAAATCAATAATCAAGTGTTGACAAAACAGCCATTCAACTTGTGTTGATGTCATTTATTAATTTTTCCGAGTTTAATGAGGATTGTGGATTAGTAAACGTGATTATTCAGTGTTTTTTATTAATTTTCAAACATTAATGATGACATTAAGTTACACTTGAAAAATAATTTGCAACATACACAGAAGAAGGATGAGAAAAATAATTTTTGGTCTTATTAAATAGAGTCTGCAGCTTCTCATATACCTCAAAACTTACAATAAGTATTTCAACTGGACTCAGTGGACATGGTTTCAAGTTAGTTGTTTTATAGGGCTTTTAAATGTGAGGCAACATACTCAACTAGAAATGAAGGAATCAACTCACATTTTACACTAACAAATGTAAACAGCATAGTGAAAATGATTGAGTTACCAACAAGAATCAGAATTTCATTATGATTGTACTCTTTTTCACAATCATTGATCCACCAATGATGCCATGTGCTTGCAATCCATTCCAAACGGCAGTCTATCGGATTGTTAATTCTTTGGTTTGTTTGGTCGAGTGGTTCAGGTTTGAAGCTTTGGTACTATTTCAGTATGTTGGCTTTATCATTTGAGCAGTTGATTGGCTTTAAATCAGATCCATTAGCACGACCCCGTAGCGGCCTTAAACGGTTCACCATTTGACACGAGGAACCAGATCTTTTACAGCAGAAGAGCACACGATAAAGATGGCTGCTATTAACAATGGGGTTAAGAGTACATGAGAGTAGAGCAAACATGTACATTAAACTGGTAAAAACGGGATTGATTATCTCATCTTGACCACTGAACACTTGCCAGAGGACAATAAAGGCGTACGGAGTCCAACAAACTGTAAATGATATTGTAACTGCGAGAAAGGTACTAATTGCTTTGCGTTTAGTTTTGAGCATACAATTTGTTTTTTGTGAAAGACGTTCCTCGCTTGAAGCAGACTTGCTCATTCGCGCTAAAAGGCAAACAGAAACAAAAGAAGATAAAAAATACAAAATTATAAAAAGTCAAACAAGCTTACCATTAAAAATTTATAAACACTTAAACCTTTATCCCATTTTAATAAACACTGGAACTTTCTAAACCTCACATTTATAAAATCTCAATTAATTTATTAAAAAATCACAATAAAATTTAACAAATCATTTAAATAAACCAACAGTCTTTGAAGCCAAGGAAACTGTTGAATCATATGAGATTAATTTACAAATGCAGCCAAAGGGGTCTCTGTCACCAAAAATTGATGCTCATCAAATTGAAATTAAACTTAATTTTATGAAAAATGTTATCAAAAGTTCCGCCAAACAAGATTCAGATCAGTTCCAAATATTACTGGCTACAGCTTTTTGATGTGATCTTTTGAGGTGTCATTAAAATTTACATTTTGAACGTTTGTCACCTTTCATTAAGTTTATTTTCATTTTGACCAGGGTCCAAAGAGTATAACTCTATTACTCTTGCCAGGGTCCATTTCAAGTCCCAATTGAATTGATTACACCTGATTCTTACCTTACATCTCAGCCTATTTATAACTCCAACCTACTCAAATTAAGCTAACTATTAATAAAACACCTTTTAGATTAATTTGAATAAATTGATAAACTTGTTAACATGAAAACCCTGACAATCCAAAGTGAAGCTATAAATAAACTCCAAATTGACCAAATAAAGTAACATTGGTCATTATTCCCTGTCAATCCAATGTATCACTTTATTTCAATTGTTGCAATCAAAGGCCAGTATTTATTTACAAAAAGTCCAATCAAGCTCATCTTAAACTTTTATAATTGAACTGTCCAACAATTTGTTATACAATTTGTATCACAAAACTGAAAACGATGTAAACAACATTGTAGACTGAAGCACCTTTGAATAAAGCAAATCGTATTCATTCTGACTTTTGACAAATCTAGTAAATTCAATGGCTTCAGGGTTAAATAACTAAATAAATAAATAAACAGTTTTCGTAAAATATATTGAAAGATTGAACGATTGCAGACTGTTGATTATAAAGATTGAACTAAATTACTTTTCAATGTTTTCCAGCCAAAGAAATGAGGTTCAAATGTTACAATATAACCAACAAAATCCCCAAGTTATTTGCTGATCAAATGAACTTTCTTGTCAGACAAAAAGCAAACATTTAGATTGTAAAAGATTGATTTTGAGTAATTAAATGCCAATAAAAGTTGAAGTTGAATCAAAATGAAAAGCTAAAAGCTCACCTCAATGAAAGCTTACATTCAAGTGAATCTCATGAAATGAAAATTGAATTCAACTTTGGAGTGTTTAACTCCAAGATTAACCTGAAAGACTTCAAGAGACAATATTTATTGAATATTAATAGCTAATTTTGTAAGGTAAAATCAATAAAAATTAATAAAATTTGTCATAAATCAAAATCATAAATCACTTGTAAATGAAAATGAAGGATCAAAATTGAATAGCAAAAAAAGATGTAAAATGAGGGAAAATGAAGAAAAGGTTAACCCAAAAGGCAGACATTTTCAATGTATTACAAGGTTATTATGTAAATCAAATTAATTTACTGAGAGACAAAGTCTCAGGTATAAATTAAGGCAATAAATAGAGCAGAGTTTCATCATGAGATGGAAGAGATTGAATTGCTTCAGGGAAATGATTGATACAAAAGTAAAACGATAAACAAAAAGAGTATAAAAGTGTTAACATTTATCCTTCTTGTAACCTCATTTCAATGTGATAAAAGTGTAACATAATCACAATCATCTGCATCAAGATAATAATCAGTATCATCAAGAACCTTCATGAATATTGAAAAGGTAAAGACGAGAAAAAAATATAACTTTTCAACATTTTGCTTTCCTTCCAACATGACCGTGGGCTTGCAGTACAACATGAAGTTATACAAAGATAACTGAATATTTATTTCATAAAGCAGACGAAAAATTTATACAAATTTCATGTTAAACAGATTATTTTGTTGCAGTTTATCAAATGGAGGTGAAAAAAACAGCCTTAGACTAATTCATAATGAATAACATTGCTCTGGTATAAGAGTTACAATGTTTTTATTTCCAGCTGTAATATTTTCTGTTCATTTAATAAATAAATAGTAAAACAATGTTGTTTAACCATTTTACCCTTTTGCAAGATGAAAAACACTTTTCGGTTCCAGATTTAAACACATGATACAATGAGTCTTAATGTTGAAACAAATGTAAAGGTTAACTTACCTACAACATATTTATCCAGGTTAAGAGAGGCAATTATTTTTGAATAAAGTAATATAATCAACTGTAAAGGTATGAGATACATTCCCAGTAAAGTGTAAAAGTTGTAAGCTCGCAGTTGCCATTGCGAAGTGAAAAAAGTGAAGCCAACGCACTGGTTGAATTTGTGATCGGGTTGAGGTTGAACTTTATAAATGATGAACTGTAAACCAGAAAACAAAAGTAAACCAGAAAACAAGAGTTAACCAGAAAAGGCAAAATATTGAGTAAACCCAAATTCAGTTTCATCTTTCATTGTCTTTGACCATTATTTGAACAACTGGTTAAACCTAATATTCAATCTTTTTAGGTTGATTTACTTCAATAGTTGTCAGGTTGAGTTAACTGAAATGGTCAACTTGACTGAATTATTGTTTTTGTTTCACTTGAAGTTATTTTATTCAAATTTCATCTTTAATCTAATTGTTTATGAAAGCATTAAATTTTTTTTCGGTAAGTTAATTGGATTGATGGTTAAATGTGTTCAACCAAGATGAGCTCATTAAAGATGAATCTTTTAAAGTGATTAGTTATTTTTAAATTGCAATCAACACACAATCCATTATTCATCAAAAATAATGTTAAAGGATGGAAGGTGAAAAAAAGCAAATTGAATAACAATTCAAGTATAATAAGGTGCTTTAATGAGCTTTACTCGATTCCTTCCTTCAATATTTACAGACAAGTAAATAAACAATTTCTGTATCAACTAATTAGATGGATTGAAGGTAAAATTGTCAGTATAAAAGTTCATCTCTGATTGACTCCCAAAACAAATCAGCAGTAAAAATATCATCAATTCCAAGGCAATTGTTTAACCAAACTGCTTTTGTTCAGCCAAAATGAAGATTCAATCTTAATAATTAATCAAGAGGCAACAGTAAAAGGAATGAAAAATATCATTAAAAGCACAATAACAAAAGTAATAATGAAAAATGAAATTTGAGTGTAAAAAGGCAATAAATGATATTAAATGTAAACTCGGCAAAACTCGCAAACGATTCAAGTGTAAATAATAAAGATAGTAATGATGAAAAGATTGAATATTTTGCTGTTTTAGTTCATCTTTTCACTGAGTTCTGGTTACACTTTTTATGCCATTTTGTACAATTATTTTTTAATAAATCAATTATTTGAAAACAACAGCTTTTTCATCATTCAATTTGCAAGTTGGAAACGAGTTAATTTTCATTTTTACCTTTTATTGCTGCTCTTTTCAGGGAAAGTCAATAAACATTTCATGTTCAACAGATTGATTATCAGGATTGATAAACATTTGGATTTTTGCTTTTCCTTCCCAGCAATGGGAATGTGAACAAGAATCCCATTTGTCTTAAGTAACTTGTGATATTGACACTTGAATAGACTTTTTGTGGTATTACTGTACTTTTAACCTTTTTTTTCATCTTCTTTCTTCTTCCATTGTTCATCAGAATCGTTTATCGTTGATTCAGATGATGGCTTAGCAATGTAATAAGTTTAACTTTTGACCCTTTCTTGTTATTGCATGGCAAAAGTATAAAGGATGGACATAAATAATGGACCTTCAAGCTGTGCACCAGTTTTATCAGTTAACCTGCCATTCAATTTAACAGATAGTTGAGACAAATGAAAGGGAAAAGTGGATTTGATTAAACAAAATTTATAGACTCAAAAGTAGATGCAATTGAAACAAAAGAATTGAAATTGGCTTCAAATTTTATTCCTTTTCCATGTTTTATAATTGAAATGTGAATGTGATACTTTTAGGTAACAACAATTGGGTTTGAAAACCCAATTTTGATTGAAGGAAACATTTAGCTTTCATTATTGTAAACGTGTTATCTTGCCTTGTCTCAACTATTCATTAGACAAATTAGTGAAAAGACTTTACCTTTTAACCCAATTGTCTTTTCATTTAGGTAAAAGTGTTTTTCTGGTTAGAACCAGGTTTGCACAATTTATGATGGACACAGCTGTTTGTTTCGGATAAACTTTTCCACCAGGGTATCACTTCTTACATTATACATGGAGTTTGAAGTAACGTTTTCTGGTTAATGATCAACTCGATTAACCAGGGTTGATGAGCAAAGATTTAACCTGACAAGGTCTCACTTGTAAGGCAACAAGATGAGCTTTACTTTGCCTTCAATGTAAGGTTGAGTAAACTTGATAAAGGTAAACATTTAAGGATCAATAATTAATATTTTATTAGGTTAATATTAATATTAATAACTTCATCAACGAAAATGATTGAAGTAAAGTTTACCGTTTTAATAAATGACAAAAATTTCCATTTTTTCTTCATGTCAAAATCCAATGCAAATGAAGGCGTAAAACATGATTAATGTTGATCATGGAGTGATCATGAAAATTTTGTAAATCAAAAGGTAAATGAACATTTTCTTGCATTCATCTTGTCAATCAATCAGGAAAATGATTAATTTGATTAAATAAAGAGCCTTCAAGTTTCTCTAAAAGTGTTCATAAGTGGTAATAATGAGAAATTGATTGTTGAACAATTAACCATTTAGTCAACGTTAATGTTACTTTGTAAATTATTGCAACTACAATTAACCAGTAAATGTATTAATGTGATAACTTGACTCCATTATTGTACATTAAAGTCAATTGCTAAGTTAATTTGCAGTTAATCTTGTCAACAATTGCCTTTCAGTCCATTTTAGTTTTGTATTTTTTCATCCGATTATCATTGGAGTTCAATGATTCCAAATCAAATTTCAGGCAAAGAAAATTCTTGTTCAATTTATTGATCATATTTATCGTCATTTCCAATTTAAGATGAAGTCTGAAAAGACATTGACTTCAACATGAGATTTTTTGATGCCTTTGAAGAATGCACTTCTTGGCCATTCTTTTATCATTTTTTCTCATTCTTTCAACACTTACAGGATTCCCTGAAAGTCATGGGTTTACTGAGTGTTTTGATAATGCAGTCAACATGATGAGCCCTGTTATTTACAGAGGAAAATGTTTTGCCTTTAAAATGTCTTGAAAATGTAAAGTTTAATCTTGAAACAACTTCTTGTATCACTGCTTTTGTACATGTTTTTAAGCTATAATAACATGCCAAAGGAAAGGTGAAAGTATAAATAAAAGAATCTGCTGATTTGCTGAGGAAAACAAATGCTGAAAATGCTTTTAGTATAATGATGATGGAGAGATTTGTTGATAAATCAAGTCAAAATATTCTAATATATTCACGATAATAAAAAAAGTAAATTACATTAAAGGCTTGGTCAGACTGTTTATTGAATCCACACAAAATTGCAATTCAATTGAACATCGTAATCAATATTAATATTGATATAATTAAGATATAAATCAGTTTAACGAATGATTATTTTCCTTGTTTTTTTCCTAACACTGGCTTCCATTGAAAACCAAACAATGGGTTTCTGGTTAACACAGTTTCTGGTTAAGTAAAATGAAAACCCGAAATTGTAATTTAAACCTTTTTTTGTCAAACTTGAATCACAGTTGGCAGGAAAATGAATGTTGAGACAAAATGGATTCAAATTAACATTCATAATTTGTTATCCAACATTAATGCTTACAACATTTTCTTATGGCAAATGAGGTTATGAAGATACTCAAGACGTTGAATAATCTGTTGATATAAAGATTCAGGTAAATTTGCAATTTCCAATTCCATCGTGAATTATTAATAATCTGGAAACTCATCTTTTTTACGCTTATTTCTCATTCCACATCAGTTTCCAGGAATGATGTTGAGTTGATGTTGAATAATGAATCAGAAATTAGAATAGTGCATTAGAAATCAAATTGTAAATCAATCTTGACTAATTGCTGTAAAATACTTTAAATCAAACTTGTTTTCATTTCTAATTCTATTTACTATTTAATAGTTGAACTTGAATGTTGACAAAATTTAATTTGCAACCTTATTTTTCACCTAATTATGTTCATTGAAAGGCTTTGGAATCCTTCCTAGTAAGAAGTTCTTACAGTCTTTTGAAAATCATTCAGTAAATGTTATTGTCTAATATTGGCAGCCAACAGGTTTCATGTTATTAAACCTGAAAATAAACTTATTAATTCCTTTTCCAATTTCCATTTAATTTAGACTCCACATTTAGCATTGAATATCTTATTTCATTTGATAACATCAACGCTTCCAAAATGTTTCTACTCAATTTACATCAATGAAGATGCTATTATTAACTGATCACATTCAGAATTGTTGATTGAATTTTGGAAGATCTTTAATGAAAGTAATCAAGTTTGGTGGAAATATCTCAATACTAGAAATGAAGAGCATCGACAAAGCTAAATAACTTTAGAAGTGAATATTTTGAGAATGGGTTTTCTGGTTCAGCAAAGACCGAAGACTTAACCAGAAAATTGGACACATTTAAGTCAATAATACACTTTTCAATAAGACTCAAGATCGTCTTTAATTGTTTAGAGTTAAGAAGATGATGGAAATGCTGTTAATCTATTTATTATGAATAGTATTTATCACTTTTCTCATGATGTAGAATTGATTGATTATTTGCTGTCAAATTAATTTGCATCTAATTTTGAATAACGCGATTCTTTGATTTATATGCTTTGAACTTGAAGTATAAAGGTATTACTTGAAACGGATTATATTAATAGTTTTATGTTAGACTAGACATTGTAGTAATTTGATTTATAATGAATCATGATCAAATCATTGGATTGAAACTTTAAAATTTCAGATTGTTTAGTAAGGCTTAGTACAGCATTGGGAATTAAGCTTTATAAATGATATTTTGAATGTTGAACGAGCATTTTGCTTTGTGCCGATCATTTTATTTTTTCTTGCTCTGAGTTTCGCTTGAAAGAGTAAATTTCAATAGTTGTTCAGAAATTGGTTTATGGAATTAATCTCAAATGAATATTGAAAACACTCTTCATGAAATTGGATACTTTTGTTAAATATGATAGTCCAAGTCTGGACAAGTCTTTCAGCAGTTGAATGAGTCTAGACTTGAAGACAGCATCAAAAAGTTGAGATTGCAAATTATGAATAAGGTTTACAAAAAGATCATTTTTCACGAAATTTCCAGGGAACTCGATTCAAAAAACTGGGAAATGACTACGTTCTTGACCAATTCAAATGAAGGGACCTGAAATTTCTGTAAATTATTAATCACAAATAGGGTTTGCCGATGAAAATGGTTAACAAAATTAATTACTAACAAAGTAAATCGTTAGATACTATCAAAAGTTTTCAGTGGATCGAAGATGGAAATGCAAAGCTTAAAGTTTTGAGTAAAAAGTTGTGTCTTGCTTGGTTTGTAAGGACGTGAAAATAGATTAGATTGATGTAAACGAAAAACTTCTCTGATCAGTAGTTTTCGAGAAAATTGCGTCTGAAGTCGAAACTTCGATCGCTTATTGTGCAGTTATGAAGCGAGCTGTGCCCAGCGAATTTATACCTCTAATGTAATTTTTAACGAAAAACCAGAAAATGCATTTGATTTAGAAAAAAAAGTTTCACTTTTTTGTACAAATGGATAACTTCGATTTTGAGTTAAAGGACTCGTTTCGAGCGATGGTAATAGTAAGAAGGTTGAAACTTGTTTAACTTCAGCAGAAAGCACTGGCCAACCTCACTGACTGATTAATCTTTTAGATTTATCACTGATGCCTTCGATTTCGAACAATAACATCGAAACTTTGTACCTCGATAACTCAATAAATACATGAGCTATTAACATAATTCCTTCACCAAACATCACACATTGCAATGCTTATGTTATAGCAAAAGAAAAAATCACCATTACCACAAAATCGCTCAAGAAAATCGAGTTTCTAATGCATAGATTGCTTTTGTTGTCAATTGAATGCTTAAAAAGCTTCTTTGAGGTGAATTGCAGCTCTTTTGCTTCATTCTCATTATGAGGTAAAACTATTTGCGTTTGTACTAAAGTTGGATCCAAATTTTTTTATTATTCATCGGTATTATATTATAGCACTTGCAATATGACATTTGAATCCAAGAATTGGGTTCTCTGAGCTATAGTTGTCGATAAAATCGCGTCTTAAGTTGAAACTTCGATCGCTTATTGTGCAGTTATGAAAGCAGATATTTCCCTCAAATTAATGTGTTTAATATACCTTTTCATGTTAAACCAGAAAATGGATTCACTTTGGAAAATAAATTTTCACTTTTTTGTACAAACGGATAACTTCGATTTTAAGTTAAAGCAGCCGTTCAGCGCGATGGTAGCATTTAGAAGGTTGAAACTTGTTTTTCGCCAACAGAATTGACTGGCCAACCTCACAAATTAAAAATTCTTCTCGATTTATCGCTGGTTCCTTCGATTTTGGACAATAACATCGAAACTTTGAACCTCGATAACTCAATAAGTACAAGAGCCATCGACACAATTCTTGGATTAAAATGTCATATATAAAGTGCTATAATATAACACCGATGAATATCAGAAAAATTTGGATCAGAATTTAGTACAAACGCAAATACTTCTAGCTCATAACGAGAATGAAGCAAAAGAGTTGCAATTCACCTCAAAGAAGCTTTTTAAGCATTCAATTGACAACAAAAGCAATCTACTGCATTAGAAACTCGATTTTCTTGAACGATATTGAGGAAATGGTAATTGCTTCTTTTGCTATAACATAAGCATTGCTATGTATGATATTTGGTGAAGGAATTATGTTAATAACTCAGGTATTTATTGAGTTAGCGAGGTTCAAAGTCTCGAAGTTATTGTTCGAAATCGAAGAGACCAGTGATAAATCTGAAAGATTATTCAGTCGGTGAGGTTGGCCAGTGCTTTCTGTTGAAGGTAAACAAGTTTCAACCTTCTAACTGTGACCATCGCTCGCAAAGAGACCTTTAACTCAAAATCGAAGTTATCCATTTGTACAAAAAAGTTAAACTTTATTTTCTAAATCAAATTCATTTTCTGGTTTGTCGTTAAAAATCACATTAAATTTATCAATTTGCTGGGCTCATCTCGCTTCGCAACTGTACAAAAAGCGTTCGAAGTTTAAACTTTAGACGCAATTTTCTCGAAAACTACTGATCAGAGAAGTTTTTCGTTTACAACAAACTAATCTATTTCCACATCCCTACAAACCAAGCAAGACACAACTTTTTACTCAAAACTTAAAGCTTCTGAGTTTCTTTCTTATTTTCACTCCTAATCAATTAGGATAAAACTATGAAGGTGTCAAGTCTTTTCAACACCAGTTTCAGGAAAAAAGTTATGATGGAAATTGACGATGAATGAAGGCTTATACCAGATTCTCTAATCATCTTAAATATTCTTGTCGTAGTTAACCTACTCAATTCGACAAAATCTAACACTGAATAGAATCAACCAGAAAATCAATCACTTGGATCAAGACTAATTTGTATTTCTCAGCTACTGGTATTTACTTTCTAGTAATGGACTTTTGACAGTATTTTACAATCCAAACTATCAAAATTAAAATACTCAAACAAGTTGAAATAGTTTGATTTGATTTAACCCCAAACTTAGTGCTATATTCAATTCATTCAACTCTCAACAATTTGGTGCAATTTGATGCACAATTTAAAGTGAAGATGAAAATTACGTAGGAAGAAGCTCAGTGAATGCACTTGAAAAGCTATTGATTAACTGATTTCGATGTAAAAGTAAATTGAATGTACAACAATTGAAATCACTTTTGATTGTTGTTCCATCACTTTGCTTGAAATCGTTTTGAATAGTCATTCGGCAGATCTACTGATCGCAACTAAAAAGCCTCAAACTTTTGTCAGGTAAAATGTCAAATCAAGTTTAACATTGAAAAATGAGTTTTGCCAGCAACTTGTTGTTTAACCGTTTAAGAGCAATTAAAAATAATGATTGTTGAATTTACTTTTAAAAATGGTTTTCCGGTAACAAAACTCTTGAGATTTTAATTTGATAAATTGGAAACCTTTGTGCAGAAGCAAAATTAATTATTAAACAAGTTTTAATTGCAATTGAGATCAAATATCGCAAAGGAAAAGGATTAACATTGAAACACTTGTAAATTCATAGTTGATTCAGAATCTAATTTTGGTGTAAAAACCTTATAACTTCATGAAAAGATTAATTTTTCAATTAACATTTCGATTGAATAAGAGTTTGATTAACAAAAATTAATTGAAACTCCACAAGTTAATACATAAAATCCTAAGAATATATTGAAAAGATATTATTCATTCGCCATTTAATTTACTTTCCATGAAAACATAAATGATTGGAAATTGACGATTTTTCAAGCAATCAAATGTAAATGTATCTAATTTTAATTAAATTTACTATGAATTCAGTAATAATATTGAGTAATGCTCTTAATCAAATTAGAAAAAGCAATTCAAATTTGCAGTAAATATTTTAAAACATGTTATAAAACTTCCAAGACTTATCCAAGAAATAGTCAAAAACTAATTTTAAGTCATTTCCAATTGTTAAGTTAATGTTTGATCAAGTTTTAGGTTTGATTATTGGGAGGATTGGGATAGTTTTGATAATCTTTCTGATTTTTGTTTAATGAATGAACGATTTGATTCTTGAGTCTTTATATTAATATTATTCCATAATCTTTATGGTAATGAAGGCAACTTTCTGATATTTTAGACCATCTTCATTGCTGCGCAACAAATAGTCTTTGAAATATTACTCTTTGATCGTTCATCTTCTTGTTGGCAGTTATTAATTTTTGTTGTAACAGTGAACCAATTGTTGGAGCTGCTTCAAGATTCGGTAAAATTTGAAGCTTTACAGTTTTAATATTGTAGCTTGGATTGAATATGAAATAGTTGACTGGCTATGAACCAGATTGGTTAATCAGTGTTTTTGCTTGATGTTTACATTGAGAGAGTGAAATTGAAAACAAAATTCAGGTAAAACTATGATTACGTAACTGTCTAGACATTGAATGAAACTGAAATTTGATTGAAATTAAAATACATACCTGAGGAATACTGAGCAGAAATGATGAAATGTAGGTGATTTTGAGCATTCGGTAAGCCCTTTGTTTCTCCTTTTGAAAAATGTGAGGCTCTTTGAGTAGATAATAGCGATTGTAGCTTATACAGATGACCATAAAGGAGGACGAGAAAAGGCTAAAATTGCGCAGTGTTTGGTACAGTTTACACGCTATTTGTCCGACTTCCCATGAGATTGATTGGCACCAAAGTATTTGTGGGAAAATGGTAAACAGGACGACAAACAGGTCAACAATGACAAGGTTTAATAAAAGTATATTGGAACCAGTTTTGTGGTGATTTTTAAAGGCAATCTGGAAAAGGGCAAACAAATTGGTTAAACTGCCAGAGATGAGGAGTGTGTAAAGTATGATTATTTCAATTTTAAGGTATTCCCGGTATTGAGTTTTAAACTCTTGACTGTAAGATGAAAGAGATTCAGATGAAATTTCATCTCCAGGTGAACCAGCAAAGGCTCCATAAAGTTCATCAAAGGTTGTCACTGGAGTTGTGGTCATTGTGCTTGATGAATTGCTTGGACTTGGGTTTACTGTGGGTTTACTGTTGTTGTCATTGTTAATCTGGTTAACGGACTTGCTGTTGCTGGTGTTACCAGATTGGAGTTTAATATGATTGTTGATGTTAATCGAGTTGATTTATCCATTTCTTCCTATGGATTTACCGTTGAATCGTAAACTTTATTTCTTGTTATCTCATTCAATAACCAACTCTATTTCAACTGAATACATTTTTGAGGGAGAAACTTTGGGAATGAATCTGATTTAATCATTTTGTACTCCGGAGTTGAACCTTTTTTGAGGAATGGCTTTGAATATGCGCTCGATGGTTAATAGGAAAAGCTAAAGATTCAAGAAACAGTGAAAAAATGACAGCAATAAGTCACAATCAAAGCAAATATATGAGAAAGTTAATGTACTTGGACAAAAAAACACTGGTAAATATGTAATGGAGGTTGGAATGAGGTTCGTTTCAATCAAGGAAATGATTAAATTGGCTGAGAATGTAAAATGGAATCTGAAAAGGAAACTAAAACGGTGAAATTTTACGATATTTCATTGTTATTGGAGGATTTCATTTCGGTGATTTGAAATATTGCAAATTTCCGTGTGTAATAATGGTTAAACAATAGATTTGCCAGATTTGATGGGAATTTGATGATATGCTTACAACATCTAGATAGGAAATTTAATTGTTGAGTTGAATTTGTTATCCAGGTTATTGAGTTGAACATAGTCAGGTTCAACAGATGCAATAACCAGGATTATCACAAAGACCCGTTACAGGAATATATTGCCTTTTTGTGTGAATTAAAGGCTCAAGAGCCAGCATTAAATCCATAATCACCTGTAATCATAATGTTTCTGATAAAGATATTGTTTTTATAAGCTTTTTAAATGTAAATCAGGGATAACAAACTTGAAAATTAATTAAATTTATTGTCAAAAAATTATATCCAAAACACTTATATTGAATTTAATGAGATTTTTGAACAGCATTATGAGATGGAGAGGATTGTTGAAAAAGTAGAGTTAAGTAAACCAGAATTTAGATAGAAAGAGTAAAAAAGTAATAATAATTGGCTGAGTTAAGTTTATATGTAGAGATGAATTTTATCATTTCTAGGATTCAATTTGGTGGGATTGCTGGAGTTGCTGGAGTTGCTGGTGTTGCTGGTGTTGCTGGTGGTTTGGGTGCTGTTCCTGGTCGGTTATCTTCAGTATTGCTTGATCCATAGCGATGATACAAATTCCAGAGAACAGCTACTGAAACCAGGACTGAGAGTAAGAATCCGATGATAATGGCCAAGGTAAATGTAGATAGATTAACGGGTTGAGATGATGCTGATGTTGTAAATATTCGTAATTTATCTCGACATTCCGCTATTTGCTTTGAAGTTGGTTTGAAGATGAGTGAAGCCGTTGACCCATTCATTGGTTTTGACATATTTTTAGAGATTTCAACAGAGCAATCGGAACTAGTATATAAAGGATCACAATGACATGCACCAGCATTATTACATATCCCATGTCCTGAACAATTTTTGGGGCAAGCCTTGATTTTTTTTAAAACAGTATCAACAAGGACACATTTAACGCCAACACACATTCCAGAAATAGTTGTACCACAAGGCGAACCATCAGGAACCATTCCAGGATTTAAAGATGACAATGAACCCTCTAAAGCTAAACATTGATGTGTTCCGTTGATAATATTATGTTTTTTACTGCCAGCAAAGGGTTGTTCGTAAACCAATTTAGTATTTGCAGGAGCGTTACAATAAAGTAGACCACAGGTAGTATCATCTATGGTACACTGCTGTTCCGTTTTATTCATGGGCCCTTCGAGTTTACAAGGAAATGTTGTTTTACCCATCAGTTTAGCCTGATAACAAGACTCATGACTTTGGATAATATTTGGACCCCAGAGTTTACCACATTGTATAGCGTGGTTTGCACAACGACCTGCGTAACACCTTGCATTAAACTGTGACTTGTTACATGGGATACCATTTGGTTTGTAGCGATCTTCTGGGCAAAATTCAGAAAGTCCATCACAATATTCAGGTAAATCACATTCATCTACAGCTTTTTTGCAAACTACATTGTCAATTCTAGCGTAAGGAAAACATGTCTTTGGATTACAACAGGGACCGCTTCCACAACAAGCCGTAGAGTTGAGCATACAGGTCTTGCCATCACAACAACTACCACAATCTGGTCGACCACAATCGCATTGCTCGTCTGGTTCAATGATTCTATTACCACAGGTTTTTGTTGATTGTAAAGCCAATGGTTTATCCTTTAGATAGGTAATTTCATTATTTTCATCCAATGATAATTCATCCAATGATAATGAAGAAGTCACATTTGAAATGAGATGAAAGCAAATAAAGATAGAAACCAATACTATCGATTTTGGATTAACAAGTTTATTTTTCATTTTTGCTTTAAAATTAGTTGAAATGTTTTAAACAAAAATTCACAAAAAGGTTATTTACTGCTATTTTAAAGTTAATTTGATCTGTTTAAAGTATATTTAAGACGGACAACTCGATTAAGAATGCTAAAATTATGCAAGAAAATGATCGTGTATATTTTAAATGAAACAGCATATAATATTAAATAATTCCGAATCCTTCAAAGGATTATTAAAAACCACTAAGATTAAACTCTTTCATATATAATCTTGCAATTGACTGCCATTAGAGAAAAGCTAATTTTAATGTTTAAATGGATTTGCTATCAACTATAGCAAATTAGACTTGAGTGCGCTTTAACGAAATGCTTTTTCTTAGTCTCCATCTAGTAACATATTCTTAAGAAATTTAGGATTTTACAATCTTATTGTGTTAATCAGACACTCTAAAGACTATAAAAACTGCCTCAATTTATGTAAACTTTAAGCTTAATTAAAAAATCGAAGATGGAAACCGTGAAAATGCGTTAAGTGGACACGAAAACCGACTATTAAACTAATTTAAGCTATTTATACCATTGTTTAAACCATTGATTTTTTTAGGTATAAAATTTCTTGATGTTAATTATATGTTGAATTGAATTTAATATGGATATTAAATTTTTGCATGCAAATTACAGCAAAATTAATTGGTTTGATTACAATTTTTGTTTAAATAATAGTTTGGCGCATTCAGTTTCGATGTTTACAATTTTCTTTAATCGATATATCGGTACATGTTTCACAAGCTTAGGTTATAAAGGCTAAAATGGAAAGTTGAAAATTCATATTTAAATCGTTAATGTAATTGTTTGTAAATTTCACGCTAATCTCTGATGGATCTCAGTACCTTGATATTTTTAATTTTCCCAATATTAGCCTGTTCACTGGCCATTATCAATTATAATTATAATGTTTCTTTCGACCCACTTATGATTGGATTGACTCTTATGGGCATACTGTTATTTTATAAAGCTCCAAGTTACTCAAAGTAAGTTTTCTTTGTTTTCTTTATTTCCCTCCTGATTTAATTCAGCTGGCATTTTTCAAGTATAATTATTCGTCTTTAAAGTGACATTAATACTTAATCTTTGATTAATCTACGTATAACGGTCAAAAGCTTCCAGTAAAGACTGTTATCACATTAGGTTTGTTTGTTGTTGTAGAACATATGATTTGGAATTTTTTTTCTTGTTTATTTTTTTCTCATTTAATTCTTTTTTTCTCTTTTTTTTGCAGAAGTGCAAGTTTTTATTACGTTTGTTCACTCATTTTGGGGTGTTTAGGATCTATACTTGTTGTATTTTTCGTTCTAGGTAGATTTGTGCCAAAGGTTTGTAGACTTGAATTGTCTCATTTGAAGCATTTTGCGGTACTTTTTACTCTGATAAGCTTTCGAAATGATCATCTATCATCTGTTACTTGATAGGATTTTATTTTCAATACATCTGAAGTACTCTCGAATTAATCTCATTTCGAAAATAACCCTGAATGTCACGTTTTTTGTGAGGCAACAGTCTGATGAAACAGTTCAAATTTGAATGTATGATTGTTTCCTAAACAATTGCAATCGTAAATACGAAATCGTTACAATCTAAGCCCCTTAATCGTCTCTTAATCTAAGTAATCATGAGCATCTGCTTCAAAGACAAAATTTAATCCTTCTAACATGAAATTTTCCCCATTATATATATTTTCTAATGCGTATTTATTCTTAAATTCTAGAGATTCGCTTATGCCACTCTTATTTTCGGTAGCTCAACCATTGGATTTGTTTATCAGCTGTGCAAGGACAGAATTTATCAGCAGATTATCGATTATGGAACATATATTATTTGGTATACAGTGATTGCTGCATTTATCACTTTTGCTTTCGCCTATCGTTATGGTCCACCAACTCATCCGAAAACCTTAAACTTAGTGCAGTGGACATGTCAGGTAAATCATATTTACACTTGCATTGACTTAATTCGCCTTTTATCTGATTATTATTTTCTGAATATTCTTCCAGATTCTAGCTCTTTCTCTAATCATGCTTTCAAATTCTTTACCATCTGTTGGACTATCGCTATGTGGAGTATTAATTTTGCATTACAACTTTAGCAATCTCTGGGAGAAGTTGTGGTTGTGAGTATTTTGCATTACCAATTCATATTAAAATTAACTAGTGACAGTTTGGAGATCATGTGCGAAAAGAGAGCGCATTTGATTGTAAACAAACTCTTTTTGAAGTTGAACAGATCTGCACAGATCAACTTGATCACCTGTTGATGATTTCACCTTCGAAAACTGTTTTATGAACTGTGGTTTGCAATATTTTAAGTGGATTGTACTATTAATTTTACAACTTTAGTTGAATGATGTATCAATTTTTCTTTCAGGCGATGCAAGAAACCTGAACCAAGAACTTTGTTAACTGAAGATGAATACTATTTACAAGGATTATTAGCCACACAGGAGGAGCTTAAAAAGCTACGTGAATATTGTCGATCTCCTGAAATTGATCCTTGGAAAGTTATCAACAAGCTTAAAACACCTGAAAGGTACTGAATTTTAGTTATCAAAAATTCTCTAACTACTCTTTTATGCCAATTAACATTCATTCAATTTTTACAATACAATTTCAAAATTTTATTCTATAAAAGTATTTTTAAAATTTTTCCATTTGAGTAGTTTTAAAGTAAATTACCAATTCATTCCATGTAAAAATATAGTACGTAATTTTGCTCAAAAAATTCTCATTTTATTCAAATCGATTTCCAATTTCTCTGATTCTGTTGTAACTAAACATAAGAAACAATTAACATCTGCAATTCATGTTAAATATGTAATTTTATTATCCTGTGATTTAAGATGTAAGTAATTAGATCAATGAGTAGAGTTTATTCATGAAAGCTCATTTACCTGTGGTTAAATTCATTTGACGTTCAACAACAGATTATTGTTAAACACCCACAGGAAAACTAACCTCTCAACTCATCCTACGTAATTACATTTTGTTTATATTCTGATGAAATTTGTTTAACCCTTTTGAGTATAATTTTTTTATTTTTGATAATCTATAGATTTGCCAAATTCATGGTCACGGGAGAAGATGTAGGCGAAGAAGAACGAAGTGTATACGATACATCATGTTTTGATGATTCTGAAGAAATGATTGAGGATATGGACACAACCGGTGGAGACACTCTAAATGGGAGTCAAGAGAGCTTGATATTCCGTGAAAATTCAATTCATAGTGAAGTTAATGTACTAAGTAATGCTCAAAATAATTCGCAAAATAATTCACAAATCAATGCACAAAGTACATCAAACAATTTTGCCTTTAGACCTTTGTACCGTCTGAAGCCCAGTATTTTGGATAAAACTACAAATTCCAATTCTTCCGATGCTGATATTGATAACATTATGGATCAAGAAATGAAAAAATTAGACCAAATATTTTCAATCAATTAGACAAATAAATTGGATTATTCAATTATTGTACAAAATGTTCAAAAGTAGCCTGATTTTGTTTCATTTCACATTTGTTGTAGGTGGTGTTTCAAGTTATGATAATTATGACAGCAAAAGCCAGATAAAGCGTTTAGGATGTACAAGAAAAAAAGGGAAAGGTGAATAAATGGTAATTAAGAGTATGAATTTTTTCTTTGCTCCTAAAGTTTGATTGATTTAACTGGTGATTTATTTATAGTAAGGATTAGTCCAGTATTTGAGCCTTATCAGGAAATTTGCTTAATGTTTGTGGATGTCCAGGTAAAAATGGTGGTGACTGCATACATAGAACAATACATCTCTTGTCTTTCTTTTTTTCAGTTTATGCTATCACTTTTCATCTTGTTTTTGTTTTCATTTCATTTGCTCTGCTTCGAAGGAATGATCTTTTGTTTTTAGGCACAATAAGCTATAGACAAATAAATTACTTCAATGTACAAAGGCTTTTGTTTTATCGAAAAAGAAAGAGAGAGAATCTATTGTTGAGAATGTATTCCAAAAGATGTCTTGATTTTCAGTTATACTTTTCAAAAATCGTCCCTGAAAATTCAGACTTATTTGCAAGATGTTTCAGGATTTATAACAGCAAATGTCGTCAATACCATGAAAATGTCCCTTGTAGTTTGAATTTGTAAAAAAAGAACAGACATGAAAGCATATTTGGTTAGATCATGCTTCTGTTGTTATCCACAATGAAGAGCACAATTGATCGATCAAAACTAATTACAATGCAGTTTTTAATAAAATGTGATTTTCCAAAAATGTTATTTTTAAGCAAGGTAATTGTAGGTATCTTTTGAATTATCGGTTCTTTCTAGGTATTCCTTTTCAATCAAAATATCGATACATTTCTGCAAAATAACAAAATTCAAGTTAGAAATATAAAATTTGACAGCTTTAGTTAAAACCATTGCCAAATTAGTTGCTTACCTTAATCACAGGTACACTGGGTTTAAATCGTGATTTAAGTTGTTCTAAAACTTCGGCTAAGAGTTGTTGATGTTTGAGCTTTTTCCTCATTTTCATAATCCTTACAATTGCGGCCTAATTACGTTGGAAAGAAGTAAAAAATATGATTAGATAATGATGCAATAGATAAGCGGAAAATCTTACCTGAATAACCAATTTCCTGTCTTCCTCAATGTGTTTATGAGTTTTTTCTTGTTCTTGTTTATATTCAGTTTTCATGGGAACATTAATATTTACTCTAAGTTTTTTGTTTTTATAGCCAGTATACAGTGAAATGACAGAATTAGCTGTTAATCCTTCAGTTTCGTCTTCATTGGTTTCACTTTGAATGACTGATATATCGTCACATGTGAGGAGACGAACTTTCAACAAAATATGAATAACTTGAACCAACACGTCCATTTTAATCTGGGTACAATCACAAAGTTGTTGTAGTGTATAGCTATCTGCAGTATTATATTGTAAAAGCACAGCCATTTGAAAAGTTGAAGCCTGAAAAAAACCAGAGTTTAGAAAGCTTTTCCTTGATATTAATTGAATTTAAAATTACCTGAAGAGTATATTTATTTTTAAAACAATTAGTTGAAAGCTCTCCTTTAGACATATTGTAAAGCCAGTGAAGCTTCCTACCACTGTGTTGTCCGCTATAGAATGAGGTAAATCTCTGAACACTCCTTTCAAGCTGTATTTAAAAGAATTGATAAGAATTAAGAAAATGAAGATATAATAGATGAAAAATATCTTACTTCGTGTGGCAAAGCAAAAGTGAAAGACTGCTGAAAAGGCCATGATCCAGAACTTAAGACTTGAATGCTGAAGTCTAAATCAAGACTTTCTTTAGAATTTTTGAGATGCTGTTGAAATTGTTCATTGAGTCCTTTGCTCACTCCTATGTCTTGAAACATTCGTTGTAATTTTGATGTATATTCGTAGCCACAGGCTTGCTGTTAAAAGTAAAAGAAATGTTGATTAGTATGAGCAAAATGGACAAAGAAAGCTAAAATAAAGCATAAAGTTAGGACAAAGTTCAAATTTACCTTCAGTTTTGATATCATACTCTCTTCTGAGTCATCGCTGGCAGACATATGACCTACCAATCTTTTAGCTAACATTTTGCTATAAAACTTTTGGAAGACATCTTTATCTTCAATGTACTTGAAGACTACCATTACTTGATTCAAAAGATCCTCTAATTCGGATTCTTCGGCATTTTTTGAGCTCTTTTTCAAAAGGAAATCACAATATTTAGCCAATAGTTCAGGAGATTTTGATGATGAATTTGCAATTTTTGTCAAGGAGTTATTATTGATGAATTTACCACAGGCCTAAGGAAATAAAAGAAAAATAATTTAATATCAAGGATGAGCTATAATTGAGTAATATCTTATTGACTTACTTTGTCTAGTGCAGCGACAAAACCAGATTCATTGTTGAATGATGTATTAACTAGATGATTATATTTCTGATGGACGCCTAAAATAGTTGTTACATACAGTCGAGGATCATTCATAGCTGAATCACTGATTCGATCGATCGCTGCAAGGCCTTGATCTGTTATATGTTTCTCCAGTAAATTTTTCAGTTCCCCTAAACCATCAGGTATACGAGATACAAGTTGAAACATTCTTCTAAGATCTTCATTTTTATCACCATTTAACATATTCTGAAACTCTGAATGAAATATTTCCAAATGTTTCTCTATAAGTACTTTTTCACAAGTTTTGGCCAAAGGTGCTTGAGTGGTCTCATGAAGATACGTTGCAACACGTTTCTCTTCTTCTTGAAGTCTTTGTTCAGCTTTTTTCATGTATTCAGTGACTGCATTTTGACGAAGAAACTCCGTACTTTCTCTATTGTAATATCTTTCTGTATCTTCTAAAAATTTTGATTCAAAACGTTCTTTATATAGTGATAAATTAGGACCTTTACCAGCGGGTTTATTGTCATTAAGTCCAAGATCAACTGTAAAAAACAAAGAAAGATTTGCGCATTAAAATACTATTTAAAATCTAGGGTAGTGCACGTCTGCTTAAAGCGAAAATGAAATATTATGCACTTGGCTCTTTGTATAGATAACAAAAATACAGGACATGAGGTGATGCATTAGATAATCAATAGATTCTCTTATTCTATCTAAGATAGCATGATTCATCATTTTCTTGTAAATACAAACATTTTGGTGGATTTCAATTAAATTAAACGTACCATATGAGCTTATTACGCCACTAACTAATCTTGTATTAATCGTTTCCCCGTTCCGTTCTTTTTCTATTAATTTTAAAACAGCATTTGTTACTTGTTGATTGAGAGGTTCAAAAAGGCAATCCCTCCAAGTGTAGAGAGCAAGCTAGAGCAACAGAGAAAAACAAAACATTAAAAACAGAGATTAGATGACATTAAAACAACAGGTAGATGGAATGACATGGAAATGAACTCACTTGGTAAATTTCATGAATACCCTTAATACCCTCATCACACTCCCGTTTAACCCAATGTCTATTCAAATAGGAGCAGATACCATTCAATACTCTACTAGAGAAATCATATTCCTGCCACTGTTGGGTGTAAAATGCTAACACATTTTCATCCATTTTATCAATACCCTCCTAAATATGGACAGATCATCAGAAAGACAATCATTGAGGCATTAAGAGTCAAGCACAAGATGACAGTAAGTTGTTAAATCATCCGAGTAGCGAAGAAACCCATTTTTGAGGCCAAACGGAAACAAGTTGTAATCGCAAGCAGGTAGCACAATAGGTTGTTGCAGCATGAACAATGTGAAGAAGGTCATGAAAAAAAGAAAGAGAAAAATTGATTAACAACAATGATCATTGCAAAAAAGGCTGTTGAATATTACATGGAGCACTTTGGTTAGATAATCTCGGAGAAAATCCTTTAATCTTTTATACAACTCGTATCCAACAAAATGAGCACCTCCTTGAGCTGGTGCTTTCTTGTTTTTAGCTCCGATAGAGCCGATCGGGCTACGTTGACTACCCTGAGGATGGACGCTTGTACAATAATTATAAACATGTCTATGAGATGGAAGAAGATAAAGGATTAGTAAGTAAAATTTGGACAACAACAGGGATTAGATAAGAGTATATAGACTAGTTATGAGGATTAATTAAAAGAGAAATCGAAAAAGCTACTCACGTATAAAGCTCCATATATCTATTCTTGGACATATTTTCTGTTTTGTGGATGTAAACCTGTTCAATACCTGATTTGAGATCATCCCATATTCCATCAAGATCAGCATTCTTACTGCCCCCCGGTACTGTTGATGATGCCATGATTACCGGTGTAAATCCAACATAAAACTGATCGAATAACAATTTAATAATGAAGTAAAGTTAAATACAAAAAAAAATTAGCAAACCAAAAAACCTAAAAACACTCTTAAACACTACCACAATGTTAAACATCAACCAGAAGGTATTGCAGTGCTGCCATCTAAACGTATTATATAATACAAGGCAGATCTGGTCTGTAACCTGAAATGAGATACTTACATGCATTGTTGTCTATCCTGTTCAAAAGAAATGATTTAAAAAACAAATTCAAAAAAAGGATGTTTTACAAAATAAAGTTGATTATTAAAAGAATGACAAAATAAATTAAAACTATTAAAGACTATTTTAAATTAGGATGAAGTATGGTGTTGAATGGTTACAAGGTGAATAGTGCATAAGTCAACTTCAACTGTACTTATTAATGTTTAATGTGCCATGGATTTGTCTTCTTCTCAGCAATTGGTTAATCTAATTGGGTAACAAAACAATGTATTGGTTGATGTTACGTACAATTGATAACCGATCACATTCAAGATTAATCAAAAACCATGAGTGGAGAAATTATTGGTTTGAATAAAAAAAACGCAAAAATAATTAAATCCCGAAAACGCAATGTCTTACGTAAAAATAACAAGAGACAAGAATAGGATGATAATTAAGTCAATTGTTTTTTAATGTAAATACAGTTTGAAAATTACACTAGAATTGATTCAAGTCTATTTTAGTTAAACTTCTGAGTTGAATTTCTAGGTTTTTGGGTCTTGCCAATCCTCGGAGCCATATCACGCTTCGGTAATGGCGATGGTTCCCTCTTAAACGTTTAACATTACATCTTGAGAATCATTATTGTATAACAACAGAATACAATTTTTTTTAAATTTTAGATTCCATATGAATTTATGGTGAGCTTTGCTGGTAAATCTTTGGAACTATCAATCTGGAATGACTGTCAATTAATGCGTTTGATCTTAAAAATTACAAGTTGTCAGCACCAAAGAAGATTCCAAGCAATTTCCATTGAATTTTTTTTCGGAACTTTTAACAAATTTCAATAAATTTCAATGTGAAATCTGGTTTCTCGGTTTTCGGACAATTGGTCGATTATTTTGGCATCTAATAGCAATCTATCATCGATAACCGATTCTTTTTGTTTGTTTTTCTCTTTTTTCTGTCAAGTGATTTTTGGTAAATTTGCTTGCAATCAACTCAATTTGATTTTATCTAAAATCTTAATTGATGAAGCTAATTAAGTCAAGTATCGTCTATTAATAATTTCAGCTGGAAATTGTTTCAATTTCCCATTAAATATTTATTTTACTTTAGGGAAGTTACCCAATGAGAATTACATTGTTACAGTAATCGATTGTTAGGTGAATACAATCAACAATTTACATACAGTAGGTAATTCAAATTGAGAAAAACGGCTAACCTAATATTAATTATACTAAACGAACAAATGAAAAGGTAAAAATAATCTTAACTTAATCACAAAATTTGGTGATATTAGTTGAGATAATTATGAAGCAGCAGAGACAATGAAACCAAAACTAAACCTGTTGCTTCATAAGCAGAGGCAAAGGCAAAAAATATGAAAAAATCAATATGCAAGAATAACCCAATTTTCATTTCTGGTTCACCAGAAAATATTGTCAATAATGAAAACCAAATGACCAGTTTTTAAAAAAATCAGATGATTCTTGTACTCATAAAAAATCACATTTTGCTGATAAAATTTTATCTTAATTGATGTTTTCATCTTTTTGTTTTCGAGCAAGCAATGTTTTTCAAAGATATTGATTATTTTTCAATCTATCCTCACTTTCAAGCAAAATATTATCTCAAAATATAAAAAATCATTCTTATTCTTTTAGATTAGGAATATGCAAATATGAAATAGCATACAATTTAATCTGAAATAAATCTTAATCAAGACAATATTTTCTGTCTTTCTCTGCTCTCAATCTTCGTTATTATCTTGATCAATATGCCAAATTTTTGTTATTAAGATTGACTTTCTTGTCACCTCCTTCATTTGCAGCTCTCCTTTAATTACGCGTCTATTTTTCATATCATGTAAAAACTCATAGACTTTATGATTGCTCATATGAAGTTAATTGCTAGCAATAAGGAATGAAATGAACTTCATTCTATGTCAGCAAACACTGAAATCTCATTCCTAAAATAGCTCTCAACCGATTTTTTGAGCCTTTGAACCCGCCCATTTCCAGAAATCAGCTGACAATTCAACAAGTTTACTCACCACTTGTGTTGATAAAGTTGACAATAGATAGAATCTCAGAATTAGTTACATTTGTTTCAATTTTTATTTTTCATTTTTTTAAACATGTGGAATCAAATAATTAGTCGCCCAATTTTGGGTCACCTGTTACGTTGTGGTAAAAGCTCATCTTACTCAAGTGCAATTAAAGGATCTTCTGGAAATCAGTTAAACTTGCTCCATGTTTCAAAAAGTTTACAACATTGTGCCTCATTATCATCATCATCAACACCATCATCAACATCATCTCCAACATCAGCTTTCTCTAAATCAGATGAAAAGTATGGTGATTATCTTGGTAAACAACCACCTGAGAGATCATTGAATGATATTATGTACCAAGTTGATGAGATTATCTCATTTCTTGAAAGCAACAACAAGAGTAAAGTCAAAACATATGGATTAACTTTATTTACCATGATTTCTGGTGTTTTTGCTGGAGCCTATGCTGCTCATTTTGGTGCTTGGTTCCTAGACAAAGTTGGCTTATTTATGTTTCAAGAGGACGATGATGATTAATTCACAGGTCAACAATTCAAGATTCAACAGTTTATCTCTTTTGTAATCTTGTTGAAACAATTCAAGCCAACATATATTATCAAAATTCGTTGTGATCCACTATACTGGAATTCAAGATCAATTTTTAAACGTCCCAATGCATGTACAGTAACCTCTCGGTATCCTTGCAAAAAGAGCCATTTAATGACAAGCCATCAAACAATCAAATACTATCAAGTATCTTTGTTGGTTTATAAAAACATAATCATTTATAATTCAGCTATACGGAGCTGTTACGATTCTTCCTATCCATTTGTGTAAAAAAATCGAGGGCTTACCGTATTATTATACACTTAATAAGATTCATATTCAACAGACTAACTCAAAAGGCCAAATTCAGGTAAATTGTACCCTTATTAACAAATTAACAAATCAATGTATACTTATTGTTATTCCATACTGTTATATACCCAGTGCAATAATAAATTTCAAATTGAATATCTCATAAGTCGACCAACAATCATTTTAATGAATTACTGTTTAATCAACTGTTTTTTTAGTTTCATATTTGGATGATAGATGGAGGCGTTAGAAAAATGCTTTTGTCGCGGTTACAGCTGATTGAAAGCTTATGAAACTTTCATCATTAAAGTTGTCTCTAACTGTAAGCCTGTTATTTTTTTGTTATTTTTTTGTTTATTCGTTTTGTCATTATTATGACAACTATTTCATCGTCACAATTTAGCTCGTTCCTACCGAGAGACGAGTTTTTCTCTCATAGTTCAATCAGTGATTCTGATTCTCCAAATTCTTCATCTTCAACATTAAGTCCACAGCGTGAATCTGACGCCTCTACTCGATCGCCGTGCGCTGAAATAAGCCAAAATTATAAAACTTTGCTTGATAAAAAGAAAATTGATGGTATCAAATGTCTTGCCGAACTCATTAATTGGAAATTTGAAGACGGTGAAAGTTTCGTTTCCACCGTATTCGGTGTTGTGAAATCTGTTCGCCATTCTAGCGCAACAAAGTTTAAATATGTCACGATAATTGATCCCACAAGCGAAAAAGGTATCGAACTGGAAACCTTTGGTACTCAAACAAAAATAGCTGTTGGCCAAATAATAAAAGTTAGCTCTTTAAAAGTTCAAAGAACGGGATCATCCGTCGCCTTCCTATTCACCCCATCAACAAAAACTGTATTTTTCCCTCTATTTTCTTACAATTATGACAATCCCATGGGCGATGAACGTAACAAAGCTTTAACCGAAACCAGATTCAACTTACCAGCCGATAGGGAAGTTTGTCATCTTTTAGAGCAATGGTTTTCCTTAAAAATTCTGAATGGTAATCAATTATGTAATTTACCCGCTCCCGGTGCCTTTGTTGACATCTGCTGTCAAGTTCTAGCTTTTAATAAAAGTCCATGTTGTATCAATGCCGTCATTTGGGATACCACCAAGCCAAAATATGCACCTTTCTTTGGACCTGATGGTCGTTTGCCACAAGGACTGGAGTCAATAAACTATGATTATTTTCAAGTTGCCTACGAAAGATACTTCCCTCTCAATATCTGGAAAGAAGAAAACAATGACCAGGCTCAACATTATGACACATTCAGATGTGTTGACCTAACAACAGCCGATGATTTAGTTGTTATGTTCAATCTCCAAGTTGTTGAGGATCACAATCACCCTGGAAATATCTCACTGGTCATGAGATCATCAAGAAAATGGGGCAAAGCAGTTCGACTTTGTCATCGTAACAGTATTTTAGGTAAAATGTTTTTAAAGAAATGCCAAGAATACAGGCAAACTTTCAGACAGAAGTTGGGCATTCTAGACTTGGTCGAAGATTCACCGAAAACACCTAAAAAGCAAAAAACAAACGAAGAAGCTTCAAGTTCTAAAACTAAATCAGTCCTTGACCCAAAACCTTCAACATCAAGATACGCTTTACGAAGCCATACTCGTATCACAGCCACTGAACCCAGTGAAAATGGACTCCAGAATCATGAAAAGTCCACCAAGAAGACTGAAGAATGCTCATTAACTCATTTACTTAATAAATCGAAAGGAATTTTAGATTGGGATGTTTTACTCTCAAATGGTTTGGATGGCTTAAGTTTATTAAAAGAAACGATAGAAGAGGAATTGGCTCTCAATGAATCTTTCCCGTTGACTCGAATAGAGTATTTACAGCTAATTAAATTAGCCATTGAACATCTTAAAGCTCAATAAGAGCTAAATAAAGCTTTAAAAACTGTAATCCACTGTACTGACATAATGTAAATTTCTTATTCCGATCATAATCAAATTATTTTTTCAAGTTCATAATCAAAAGTTTACTTTTTAAAAAATATATTTAACATTTTATTCCATAATGGACTAAATTAAGGTCAAATTGTGTTATTTTTACCAATTGTTGATTGGATTTACCTATCATCTGATGTGGACCAATTAAACTTGTGCAATGTTGCTGTATTTGCCATTGCAATTTGCAACCATGATGAGTGTTGAGATAAACATCAATTGGGATTGTTTCCACCCTTATTCTTATTGTTTTTGTTTTATTTGTCACATTGGATTTTATAGTGAAACCATTTTTGTTTTTATCCTGAACAAATGCACAATTAAATCGCGCTCAATCAAGTAAGTTACTCTTTGCTACTATCTTCATAATTAGTCGTCATCATTGATAAATGATGATTATCCAATCAGCAACTTCAAGCCTCCCTCTTCATTTTCACTTTAGATTCAACATTCTCTTCACTGGTTAACATCAAGTTTATTTTTTTTAACCTTTTCTAGATTCAAAAAGATTGTTAAAATTGGTCATCTGCCATTTGTGTATATATATTTTTTTGGCCTGTTGACCTGGCTAACAATCCAAACTGGGTTTAGACGTGTTGAAAAAAGGTGCTGCTATGGTTGACCTCAGCCGATGGGACCGTTGGAAGGTTAAACTTAAACTTGGTAATTCTCGTCGTAACAAGACCAAATTGGTTGACATTTCCCCATCCTCGGATCACCGTTCAACGGATCAATCAAGTTCAACAAGTTCCTCCGATGAAAATGAAGTTGAAAACATGTCTGTCGATGGTAGTTGGCCAAGTGAGATGATGTTAGCCTCGCCATCAAGTAAAATCAGCAAAAATAGCGCTCGCAGTAACCACAGCAATAGCAACAGCAACAAATACACCAGCAACAGCAACAGCCTTAACTCATCGACTGGATTGATGGCCAACAATGGTAACAATGGGGTTGATAAATCATTGGACTTGGGACCAAGTGAGATGAAACACGCTAAACCGTCAGACTTTGAATTTCTCAAGGTAATTGGCCATGGATCATTTGGTAAAGTGTTGATTGCCCGTCACAAAGCCGAGGAGAAAATTTATGCGGTCAAAGTCTTACAGAAAAAGGTTATACTCAAAAAAAATGAACGCAACAATGTGATGTGTGAACGAAATGTGCTACTCAAAAATTTGAACCATCCATTCCTGGTAGGCCTACATTATTCTTTTCAATCGCGAGATAAACTTTACTTTGTACTGGACTATGTTAACGGAGGTGAACTCTTTTTCCACCTACAACGGGACAAATATTTTTCCGAACCTCGAGCTCGCTTCTATGCAGCCGAGATTACATCTGCTTTGGGTTACCTTCACAGCCAAGGTATTGTTTACCGTGACCTTAAACCAGAAAACATATTACTCGACTCAGAAGGTCATGTTGTCCTAACTGACTTTGGACTATGTAAAGATGGACTCCGTGATCGTGATACAACCTCAACCTTTTGTGGTACACCTGAATACCTTGCACCCGAAGTGTTGCGAAAAGAAGCCTACGATAGACGGGTTGATTGGTGGTGTTTAGGAGCTGTACTTTATGAGATGCTCTATGGATTGGTAAGCTTTTCCCATTTACCTTTTTTCTTCCTTTACTGGTTCTTTTCCTTTCTCTTTTCATTTCCATCTTTCTCAGTCAATCAGTTGATTGAATCATGATGAACATTCACTTTTTTTTGACTTGTATTCAATGTTATTGAGCTTTGAATTGTTTCCCTAATCGGTCTTTTAACCACCAAGTTGAATTGAGTTTCAAACATCTATCATTATCAGTTTTGTCATAGTTGTTGGCATAATTTGCAATCATCATTTATAACCAATATTTTTTGTTCAACAACCATATTCGTATCATGCAATTCCAATCCACTGTAACACTTTTTTCATGAGTGATGATTTTCCTTTCTTTTCCTTTCCTAACTTGGAAATTTTTTATCACCATGCTTATCAAGTCTAAAGATTTACAATAATTGTAGTTGCAAATTAATTGCAATACACTTTCACATTTCCTATCATCGCCTCAAATCTAATAGTATTTGTCTTTACAATGAAAGTTTATTGGGTAAACCAACTTGAGAGTCTACTATTTTTAGAAGCTCACAATTTATTACTAATTTACTGATTAACTTCTGGTTGGTGGTTAAGTTTACTCTAAATTGCCCCGTAAAACCAAGTGTATAATATAATTTTAAAGCCTTTTTACATTGATATCAATTCAAAATTTCCACTTGAAAAACAAATGACTTTTTCTTTATATAAAAATTCCTATTAATTTCAAAGTACAACTTTGACTTGAATAACAAAAATCATCTGATCCTGTTGTAGTCAACATTGCTAAATTTACGCCCCGAATTGACCTTCAATTGTAAATTAAATAACAATGTTAATCAGTCATTAATTTTTATTTTTGGTGATCAAAGCAATCAATTTAGGGATAGACACTAAAGCTAAACATTGAAATGTTTATTTAAATTAAAGTAAACACCAGTCTATGTATATCAAGTAGCTGATTAAATAATAATTTAGAAACAGTTTATCAACTGATCAAATTGACTACATCAAAACAACAATTAATATGTTAACACAAAAAGGGCAAAATTGGTTGAAAATGTTGAAGCTGGTTGCAAAGGAATACATTTTTAATTTTTACATTCAACATGATACGATTTTTAATGTGATCCAAAATTGGTAATCAACTTAGGCTCAATTGGATGGTTAAACCATTAAGAATCATTGATCACTGATCAGCTTAACCACATTTAACCAGATATTAATGTAATAAGCAATTACAGACTTTATGTAAATACAGTACAAGAAGCAGACGGATAAATTGAGTTGATTTAGATTTCAATTTGTTTACGAAATCAAGTTACAAATTTCTTTCTAATTTTGTATGAGATACGCCATTAATTGTTATTATCATGGGTTGATAGCAATTCTGAGATCATCCTTGCTCTGTGTGTGAGTTGTAAAAACAATTGTAAACATGAATTACATGGAAATTTTATTGTCACTATAAAATTATTATGAAATTGACATCTTAACCGATTCAATTGAATCAATTCTGCCCCCAATTGTAATTTCATTAACAACGATTAATTGCTGAATGCAATATTAAAGACACTATCTTTGAAAATGATACTAACCTGATTCAGTAACAAATGAACCTGAAATTAGCATATTCAATTGATTTCCGATTCTCACATGATACCTGTTTAATTGACATTAAAAGATAATTTTTGGTGCAAAAAAAGACAATCAATTGGCATCAAAATGTACCAATAAGACTAAATATAAATGTAAATATTATTAATAGATTAATATTTAGATTGGTTGAGTAAAAGTCTTCTGATTTGTTTACATTCACTTTCACATGCATTTGTTTACTTGATTTTCCCACTCTTCAGATTTTCTTCTTTCAATTGTTTTGACTGTAAAAAAATTCCCAATAGATAATTATGTTACAATTTCACCGACTAATCAATTAATTATCTATTTTCTTGTTTTCTCCTAGCCTCCATTTTACAGTCGGGACACAGTTGAAATGTATGATAATATTTTAAATAAGCCGGTTCGTCTGCGGACTAATATTTCATTAGCTGCGCGCAGTATACTTGAAGGGGTAAGTAGCTGATACGATCAGCTGAATTATCCGCTTAACCTTGTTATACAACTCGTTGGATCATCATTATTTCATTTACTCAATTGTAGATAATGGTTACAATTCTTATAATAATGCTTTTATCTTTTCACTCATTTTTCTTTGATTGTAGCTTCTTCAAAAGGATAAACGTAAGCGTCTTGGATCTAAAAATGATGCAGATGAGATTAAACGACATGATTTTTTCAAGCCAATTGTATGGACCGAGTTGGAATCCAAACAAATAATACCTCCATTTAATCCCAATGTGGTTAGTAGAGTTTAGATTAAAAGTGATTATCAATAATTATACAATTAGATACATGATGAAAATGTACCTTTGATACCACTGTGTGTGTGGGATTCAAGTTTTTTCATTGTTAATGAAGTTCATCTGTACTCATTGTTGTTATTGTCATCATTCATGTTTCCCATTATGTATTAATTGTTATTGTTTTTTTGTTATCTACAGAAAGGTTATATGGACTTGAGAAATATTGATCCTGATTTTACCAAGGAACCAGTTCCTCAGTCGGTTTGTAAATCTGTTAATATGTCTGGTGCCAACAGCATACCTGATAATGCATTCCCTGGATTTTCTTATGCTGAAACCACTTACTGATCTTTTGATACATTCAATCGCTCATCAACTTCATCATCATCCTGAATCCATCAAACCATCATTCACCATCAACAACAAAAATACTAATTCTTCATCACCAAGCAAAAAGTGTCAAACAACATGATTCAAAGTTGCTTCCAAATTTTTTTCTGGCTCAATGTTTAACTATCATTCTATTTTTTTTAAAAAAATGCTATTTTACTGATCAACTGCTCATCCACACAATTAACCATTCTTAATTTACTTATCAAAAATCAATAATTTTTAATCAGTCACCAAAAATATGAGCCAGAAAAAAAAGATTTGCTTACATTTGATTATGTTTTCATTTCTTAGTCTTCCTAACCCGATTGTTTAACTCATTTTAATCTTTCAATTTATTGTTTATTGTTATTATCTATATCTATACATAAATAATATTTAATTATACAGATGAATTTAATTATTTTTTTATTGCTTACTGTAAACATTAGCAAAAACATTAGCAAAACGATTGAAGTTCAATCGTTGAAATAACTGTAAAAATTGCAGCTCCATCTGTAGTTTAAAGTTTGACTCGAGCAGAAAAGTTTCAATTGAGAATTGATTGTTCAGTTTATTTATGTTTCAAAGTTTTTTTGTTTTCATCTAAACTTAATTTTAATGTTTTTCTTATTCAATGCAATCAATGTGATAGTGATTTAAAAGTGATAGTATACACAATTGTCTATGGAACCATTTAACTTTGTCTTCTTTTGACCTGATTGTTGAAAATGCTTTCAATGCAAGTGTCGATGGTTTTAGTGATTAATTAGCAGGTGTATGGATTCATAACTCTAAGGCGATTTTTGGCCAGATTCCAGTCAATTGGTCCAATGGAGACGAAAAGGATTTTTGTGGTCAGCCCATGTGTGTAAAAGGACAAATATTTTTATGAAAGAACAATTTAAGGACCTGATGTTTCCACCATTGGTTATTAAGATGGCTCATGAAGATTATAATGCTGAATTTGAACTTTAAATTCTGATTTCAACTTCTTTATTTTGCCATCTACAGTATATTACTTGTACTATCATTTTCATTTACACCAATCATTCAATCTTTATAATAAATCCTCCGATCAACACATTTAATGGTTTAATTAAAAGTTAATTGATAGATGGGATCAGAAGATCTTTATTGCTCCGCAAAGATTGATAAAAATATAGTGGACAGGTATTTTATCAAATTGAAAGCAGAAGCAGGTAATGTTTCTGTTCCCAGATATTATAAATCAATGAAATCTGGATGAAGAAGCGTTTTGCATTTTTGATGGGAACGAGTCTTACGAAGGCAGAGTGTTTTGTAACTCCATGATTCAAGCAAAGAAAACATCAGTTCAATATAATAATAAACAGTATTCTGGAATGACTGGAAATCTGATTATATAACAGAAGTTACAACTGTCTAAAAATGGGAATATGTCAGGGTGTACTTGATAACGCAATCGACACGCTTTATTTTCGTGGTTTCCTTAAAGGCGTACACAGTACCCAGTGTATCAAATTTAAAAGTCAAAGTAAAGGTGCTTTTCAATCAATTAAATTTATCAAAATTTATGCTGTCCTTTGCTACTTTTCGTTCGCTTATATTTGCGATTGAAACAAAACTAAACAGACGCAGCCAAGAAGCTGGTTCGCGATTTTTTCGTGATGTAAATTTTATCAATATACAATATCATCAATGTGTATTTCGGACATTAGTGGTTTCATTGGGCCACAGTAAAATTCAACATGCATGTATTTGAATTGATCAAAACAATAAACCACTGTTTCTAAATATAATTTTAAAAAAGGAATTACTGTTACTCAACTCAATGTATTGGATTCGTCAACCTTTTCAATGAATTTTATCATTCATCTGTATTTCACGAATATTTAGCAGCACATTCCAATAAATAGAATGACTTCATCATAGCTGAATCAATGATTAATCTAATATTTCATTGTTTTATTCAATGGAATGCTATTGTTTCATTAATAATACTCAAACCTCAGTTTTTGAGGCTTTCTTGCAATTTATAAATTACTTCAATCACTTACAAGTTGGAGTTTAAATGTTCAACTTTCTTATTTTTGTGCAAAAAAAGACCATTCAGCAATCGATTTTAGCTAATTCACATCATAACGTTAGAGCTGGATTCAGACTAACATCGTACTCCTAACAAATGCAGAATTTTTTTATTTCTTTCACGAACAAAACTCAAATCAAATACCTGTTTAAGTGTTTTGATTCATCATTATCATTTCAAAAGTTGCAAAAATAGATACTCAATTTAATGTATAAAACTAATTGAAAATACAATGTACAATGAATGCAACATGTAAGACTAAAGTTGCTTTACTTTTATTTTTTCAGTCTTTGGTAACCCAAATTGTATCCCATTTTAAGATTAGCATTTGATGTTTTTGAAGATGCATTAACAAATTGTGTTAAGAACTGTTTATGAACAAAAATTCATTATTACTGTGTGTTATTACAAACTGATTGTAGTTAGGTTGTTTATAATGAAAGCTTTAGTCTACACATTTTTTCCCTCTCTTTTCCCTCTCCCTCCCTCTCCCTTAGTCTTCCTATGTCTTTCTGTCCTTTTTATTTCTCTTCCTTTGTCTGTTATTTTTAATTTATCATATCCATTCCGCATTTCACCAGATCAATGTCCTAAAATCAGTAATTACCATTAAAATGTTGTTTTAAAAGTCGTTTGGTTGTTAATCCAAACAAACATTTTGTAATCCTAAAACCCTTTTGGTTAAACAAAACGGTTGACATCAAACGATCATCAACAAGTTAGCATGAGTTAACATCGATGGCTCAATCATTCTTTCCAGCTTATCAAATGTAAGTACCCACTTTTAAATTAATTACAATGGTCATAAGATATAATTGTTTAATGCGTTTCGTTGTCGCTCTACTTTATTCAGTGTCTTAATATGCCTTCTCGGAATAAATATAATCTTTTGGCTCATTCTACTTTGCTGGAGGATCTTTTGCTTTGGTACAATGGTTAACGGTATAACAAGATGTCGCCAGGTTTTTGGCTCAATTGGACCAACTAATCAAATGCATCGGGATGTTAGTCAGGTCAGGTTGCGTGTTTGATTTAATTGTGATCACACTATAAGCCTATTTTGTTCACCACTTTACCATCAATTCAAATACCAGCACCAACTCTGGTTTACTCTCTTTCCTGGTTGTTACTTGTATTATCTAAACTTAGGTTAGATAATGAAATGAGATTGTTTAGTTTCACCAGGATAAAAGAAAGTCATATTCATTGATTATTATTGCCATTTTAATGATTTCTAGTATCATTATTACATTACTAATATAGTGATAATACATATTCTGCTGATTGTCTATTTAACCGAAATTATCTTGAGTAAACTTTCAACCAATTTCGCTTCCAAACTATCTTTTGTCATTTAAACTCCTATTCAGTCTACAATGGCAATAGTATCCAAAATGGCTACTTTGTTTGCAATTTAGTTTTAGGATTATGTTTGTCATTTTTAGGTATGTTTGACTTGATTTCATCGAGATCAACTGGTAAGATAAACTGGTAACCAAAATAGGCAATCATGATTACAATGTACAATAGAAAGCAGTGAATATGAAAAATTGGTTTATTTTGACTTTACAAATTCATTGTTTTCAATATTTTACTTTTCAAATTCGTTGATATTAATATTATACAATGATTTCTGATTTGATTTTGTTTCCTTTCTTTTTTGTCTCGTACAGGCTTCCAATTTCGCTTTAAGAGGATCAATATCGAGGAATAATAATGATTTACCTCCACCTTATGAACAAGCTATCAAATATCCATCATTAATATCTGTTTCTGGTCAGATAAGTGGTGATAACAGTTCCATGTTTGCAGATAATCAAACATATTCAGAGCCATCGGATGAAACTCAAATTGAACCAGCCAGACCTGGGAACTCCTCAATTTCATCCCCACATTCAGTAGTTTCTCAATCGATATCATCACCACCATCATTTGTATCAATCAACAAAACATCAAACAAAAGGACTTCGACCATTTCATCAGCCTCATATTCTGATGAAAAACTGTAGGAATATCAAAATATTTTTTTCTACTTCAATTTTAAAACAAGATTTTGAAATTTTTATCAAAAAATTAAAAATTTTAACACATGTTGAATACAATGATCTGTTGTTTAGATTTTAAAAATTAATTTATTTTGGAAAACATTTTTTGCTGTAAATTATCTTGAAATAATTATATTTTCAATTTTCAATAAACTTCAGATCGTATCACTTATTGAATCGATGAAATTTGTAATTTCTTATCATGGTAGGAATTAATCATGTTTCATATCAACATTTAATGTCAACTACTTGTTGAACCTTCTGTTGGTGATTAATCTTTGGATTTTCAATTTGTGCCATTGCGAATGAATCTGACTTTGGACGTTTCTCTGGATCAATAGATAAATCCTCTTCTTCTAGATGATTGAAATGTCTCTGAGTTAAATCAACACCCAGAATAACCATCAAGGGATAAATTAAAGTCAGAGCAATGAAATGATAAACTATTCCTGGATAGGTTTCGATAGTAGCTGCAAATATATTCGTTATGACAATGGTTCCAATGATGGGTGAAATAGATGATACCAAAGATATGATTGCATAAACTTGAGCGATTTCGTTGTAATCGACCACTCTGGTGATGATTGACCTTAATCCAATTGGACCTAAACTCATGGTGAAATGGGTAAAAATGGTAATATAATATCCTAATGGTTGAAGGAGGACACCTCTTATAATAGCGCCAATAAACATTGATAGATTGCCCAGAGCAGCCAAGCTTACATCTCGAAAAAGATGTCGATGAATCAAAACATACGTAGCAATGGGTTTGAAAAGCATTGGAGCAACTTCAAATACTGCAGAAACATATGAAAAAAATTCATAATTCCAACCATAGACTTTCTGTGCAAATTGAAATCCAATCAATGTATCACAAAGTAAGCTCCAGGGGACTAAAGAAGAAGCCAAAATTAAATGCCACAATTGAGCCCTTTGAGCATTGGGACGAGTTCGAATCAATGTTTGAAATGTTTGAGACAAATTTGATAGGCTGAAAACATTGGAAACAAATGATTTGCCATTGGTTTCTTTTCCTCTCCATTCAATTGGCTGTTCTGGATCAGTATTGAAAACTAAATCAGATTCCTCGGCGTCATGCAAAGTAACCAGAACCCACAGAGCCGTTATCAGCTTTGTCAATCCAAAAACTATAAAAACTCCAATGTAATTACGAAAACCTAAACCAAACCATGGTCGAGTAGACAGTAGTTTAGCACCTAGTGCATTAGCCAACGGATAAGCTGTGAAAAGAGTAAATTATCAGACTTAATTGAAATTCTAATGCATGCAACTATCAACAAAACTAATTAATAACACTTTGTTTACCTGAGAGACGAAAAAATTCAATCACAGCAAATCTTAATGGCCGGTAATCAATGGCTGTTTTACGAGCAACATAAGTATAAGATCCAATCGATACCAACGTTTCTCCGCCAGTGATTCCATAACTAATGTAACTATAAACTGTTTTGCGAGCATCTGTACATTCAATCGAAATTACATATTACAATATTTGGACTTTTCTTATAAAACAATTGAAATTGAAAACTGATACTCTTCATGTTCATATCGAGCTGTTTTCTTGTGCAAACTAAGCCTGAATTCATCTTTTCAATAATCTTTTATGACTTACCGATTTGCCAAAAATAAACTTGATAAATTAAAATTGAACTTTGAATTAATCCTCCGAAACAGGGTAAAGATAAAAGGTACTTCATGTGTCCTGGATAAAGATCCATCCATCTTCCAAGAAATAATGACAAAAATATTGCTGGAGATGCTGAAACTATGTATTGATAACTTTTGATGAAAGTTGAAGCCTCTAAGATATCCTTTTTGGCGTCGTCAAAGGCTGGATGAATATTGGTTATATCATTGCAAATAGAGTGATTTAAGAATAAATTGTTTAGACATATTTTGTCTTGCACAAGTTGATTAACAGGTACAGCAATTAACGAGGTTCCAATTTGAAAGAGGAAAAGGAAGAAATCAATTCGTAATAAACACAAAACTCGCCATAATTTTTTAAGAAACAAAAGGTGAACCACTTTTTGCCCATTGTCCTTTTTTGAATTAAAGCTGAAAGATGACATTGGTTTTAACCACTGGACATTTTATTATTCAAAGTAAATTAAGAAATGTACTTGGATTTAATTTTACATGACATTTTAATTTTGATGATAATTTAAAAATATAAAATTCACATAATAACGTGCATAAAAACAATGATCAGGAAATAATCCTGATTTCAATACAACTCCCTCTCATTGTTGCACACTATGAGACATCAATGATTAGCAAATCAATATGATTGAATAAAAGTTCATGGGTGCAATCATCCGAATAATCGATAAAATGATTCAGAATCTATTTGATTTTCGCCTTTCATCCTGTTTAGGTCCCGGTAATTCAAACACATTAGCCGGCCTAACTGAATGTGATGTTGGGATTATTTGGATTGAACAAAAAGATTTCCGCTGGTTGACCGTTTGTTTGTGCGTTAGGCCAACATAGATTATCGTTTTGATAGGAATCAGTAAAGTCAAACAAAGACACAGATATAGTACATTTGGTTTTGATTGCATAGCCGTGTTTAGCAATTTGTGGAAGATAAAAATCTGAGTTGGATGAATTAGAGTCATAAAACAGGCGATAATTGCAAATACTTTAGCAGTCTCGTAATTGTAAACGATTCGGGTTACCAATGATCGGAATCCAGCTAATGTCAGGCCAAAGAAAATCTCAATCATCGCACTTAAGTAAAAACCAATGGGATCCACGTAAAACCCTTTCACCAGCAAAGAAATTAAAATTGAACAAGCTCCAATCATGGTTATGCTAAGGTCTTCTAATTTGGCTAGACTGACCAATATTATCATGACTACAACACTTGCCAAACTTATTCCGAGCCTTTTCATATCAGTTACAAAATCAGTGTGCGTTTTGGTCCATCTGAAAATGTTTCGAGTTAAACTTTGATCGATCATTGTTTCACTGTTGATAGCAAAAAAGATGAATATCATTGAAACAGTTAAGCACATTAATTGAACCCTTCCGTTATTCACTCGAGGCCGTAAAAATGATTTTAAAGTCATTGTGACATTTGTATAATGGAAAACTTGAGATAGAGTGAAATCTGTTGTTGGCGCATTGTTACGGTTAACACCCTGAGCGATAGTTGAAGGCCTTCGAGTGTCCAAATCATCTTCTGAAAGTGTACCAAGACTTTGCCGTTGACCTTGTGGTTTATTCATCAAACTGAATCCCATTAAAATGTTAGCAACTGAGGTACGCCTTGCTTGAGCTTGGTTTACTAGAGACTCACGACGAACACTTGGCCCAGGAAATTGTAGTGAAAATGCGGTTACACGTCGTGCTTTAGCATCATGCAATGATTTGTAATAGCTGTAAGCAGAAGCTTGAGAAAATTTACGTGATTGTCGTCGAGATGAATGAGCTGAATTTGATTTTTTTGTTAAAAGAGTGATGAGAACCCAAAATTCTGTGAAGGTTAAAATGGTTCCACTAATAAGAAACACACCAATATAGTTGCGATATTGTCCAAGAATCCATGGAGATTGGGATAGTAGTTTTTTGCTTAGAAAATTTGCCAAAGGAAATGCTGAAATTGAAACAAGAAGCAAGAAAAATTGAGTTGATTTCCGTTGTTACTATCAGATGTTTAAAATAATGGTAACTTACCAAGAGCAGAAATGGAGTCCAATATGATAAAGCGTATTGAACGATATTTTGAATCAGTTGTTTTGCAAATAAAAGTAAAGGCTCCAGTAATGACAAGAATTTCAATTCCAGAAAATCCAGTGATGATGTAAGGATAAATAGTGTCAATTGGCTCTAAATTAAAAATTAGAATAGAAAATTATAATTTAAATGAGAAAAATTAAAAATTTTAACAAAGGTAAAATTATAATGAAAAGGAGATTACGTTTGGTAAACAAATAAAGTCGTATGATAGTCTTTACATTAAATTTTTATACGTCCCCTAAACAGGTGGAGATCGACATCTAATTAAATACCATTTCAATTGCAATCTCATTGCAAATACGTAAATAATTAGATTTCTGTTTTAAATGAGTGTTCTAAGGTTAATATTGATCAAACGTAGTGTAATAAAAATTTACGTAAATTTTTGACTATTCAACTGGTAAGACTCTATCGAAATAAATAAGGGAAATGAACCATTTCAACAGCCGAGTTAAATATTTAAACAATTACTTACCTGCATCGAAATTAATACATTGAACAGTCAAAAAGATGTTAAGCATGGCTCCTCCTATACAAGGTAATGCTAAAATATATCTTAAATGATCCAACCTTAGATCAATCCAATGGCCCAGAAAAAGGGTTAAAATTATTGATGGTAAAATGGAGAGTAAATGTTGATAGATTGCGAGGTTAACCATAGATGTTTCAATTTGATTGTATACTTTACTATCTGGTTCATCACTTAGTGACTCGCAAGAGTCAGCAGCAAGTCTGTAATCATTTAAACACAATTTATCAAAAATTAACTGATTCAAGGGTAATTTGATCATATGAGTGGCCAGAAAGTAGAGGAAACAATACAATTCAATCCGAATCTTTTGGACAACATTTTGAATTTCTTTGCAACGATCTTTGATCATTGTTTATTCCCAATCTTAGAACGGGATTTAGGCAAAAATTTGATGATACAATTAACAAGTGAAACTTAAATGGTCAACAGTTAACTGATTGTTAACTGAAATTTTTGGATGCAAATAAACACTCAAAAAGGTTAAAACGTTTGAAAAAGGCCTAAGCATTGAAAGCAAACATTAATCTGAAAAGGTTTAGAGTAAATCTGTCATTATCTCATCTGATTAAAGAGTAACTTAAGCATTAAAAGCAGTTCATTAGATGAAACAGAAAATGATTTAATAACAATTAACAATTAACAGCTAACAGCTACCATTAATGTGCATCACCATCTTATCACAATTAGTGCCATAAACAAAATGCATAAGATTTGTAAAGTCAAAAGTCTATCTCTAGTCTATCTATCTTGAGCATTGCTGATGGTTTTTTCAGTCATTGGTTTACGTTGATTATGATCAAACATTGTACCAGTAATCATCAATTACTAGCCAATAATCAATGGTCTTTGTTTGCTTTAATTAATAATTTCCTAAGCACTCCTTGATTTGATCAGTAACTCTGCAAATATATGAAAGCCGGCTGAGTTTTACAATTTGTTTACAAATATAATTTCCATGTTTTTCATTAATCGATTGACGCATTGAATAATCTAATTCATTTCAGAAAAATTACACCAAAATAATTCAATAGACATCATTTAATGTTTCTATGTGTGTATTGGTGTAATCTTGAGTGAAAAATGGACTCAAACGTGAATAACATACATTTCATTTGAAGCTTGTTCAATGTAAATTGTTAGAGCTGTTTATGAATTTGAGCTGAATCTATCAACTGCTTATCAGCTAACGCAGAGATGTAGGTCCGATAGCCATGATTTTTAATTACGCTGTTCAATGGAATCGAGATAAATGTTGCTTTCAAAATTGGAACATTGTCAAACTGTTACAAAATCTGGATTGTGTCTTTAAATATAACAATTGGTCTGATCAAAACAATCAAAAACACTGATAAGTTATAATATTAATAACAATGAAACCCATTTTAATCGCAGAGAAAACCCTGATTGTGTTATTTAACCCAATTCCAATCGCTTCATATTAATCAACCTGAATCAAACCTTAAATAGGAATCTCATCGCAATGTCTAAGCATTAATTGGGACAATCAGCTGACAAATTATTTGCACAAAACAGATGTGTGGTTATTATAATTTTTCATGGCAGTGGATTCCAATTTTTACATGGTTGTCATGATATAATCGTCAGACAAATTAGAGATCAATATTTATTAGATTAAGTTAGTGATTTGGATATAAATTGATGGAACTTTTCCAATTTCAAGATATTAATTGACTTGGATTTCGCCGAGTTAAACCATGGATAGATTACTTCCATGTACAATAGTTTTGTTACTTTTCATCAATGCAGTTAAAACTGATGGTTGCCACAAAAGAAAATTCAAAGATGATTCTTTCGTTTGTGTTTGCAATGAACTTGAATGTGATTCATTTGAACCAGTGACTAATCCACCAAAAGGGTTGATTTACTCTTATGTATCTGATAGAGATGAGCATCGATTCCATAAAGATACATTAGATCCTAAGACGCTTGTTAATGCAGTTACAGCTGATTCCATTAAATTATCCATAAATGTTAACGAAACTTATCAACAAATTATTGGTTTTGGTGGTTCTTTTACCGATGCTGCTGGAATTAACATTAAATCACTTCCAGATAAATTGGTCTTGGACCTGATTCGTGATTATTTTGGTAAAGATGGATTGGAGTATAACATGGGCCGAGTAACAATTGGTGGAGCTGATTTTTCAACTCGTCCTTACACTTATCAAGATGATTACCAAGATTTGAACTGGACTCATTTTGCACTGGCTGAGGAGGATTTAGTATACAAGGTAAATTATTATACTGTAAATGATGATTATCCGCTCGGTGTTTAATTTTTTCATCTTAACAACAGATTCCTTATATTAAAATTGCAAATGATTTTTCTGGAGGCTTGAAATTATTTGGCAGTATGTGGTCACCTCCAGCTTGGATGAAATATCAACAAAGGATAAATGGTACAGGAACCTTGATTGGTGATCCAGGAGAAATTTATTACAAAGCAATGGCCAGTTACATGGTAAAGTATGTATCACTTGTTACTCTACTTTTCGACATAGATTTATAGTTACTCTTATACCTAAATCGTAGCTGCTTTATTATCAGTTTACACAGCCGTTTTTTGCGTGTTCTGCCATTGCCCTTTCATTTCTTCTTACTGAAGCATCCCATTCATTGAGCTTTATTTATCAAAGATAATTTTATAATTGATATTCAACCATCTCAATATTTTCTTAATCTACAGATTTCTAGACGAATATAAGAAACATGGAGTCGAATTTTGGGGAATAACTACTTTGAACGAACCAAGTGCTGGTGGCAAACCTGATTACGCTTTCAACTGTCTTGGAATATCTCCTGAACAAATGACTAAATGGATAGCTAAAGATCTTGGCCCAATCCTCAAAGCTGCTGGTTATGGCAAGGATAAGCTTAAATTATTGATACTTGATGACAATGTGTCATTGCTATTTCTTTATGCATCAAGAGTGTTTAGTAACTACGAAGCATCACAATATGTTTCTGGTATTGCTGTTCACTGGTATGAGAATGCACAGTTTGGTTTTGATGGATTTGACAAAACTCATCAATTTTTCCCCGATTATTTGATGCTATCGACTGAAGCATGTACTGGTGCGGGCTCAGACGATCCAGGAGGTAATGTTATAAATGTTATATGTTTTGTCGTCTAATCTTGAAGTGTTGTTAATGAAATAACTAAATCTTTCATTTTTTACCTATTTGCAGTGAGACTTGGTTCATGGAAGAGAGGTGAAGAATATGCAAATGATTTAGTTGGAAATATGAATCATTGGAGTTCAGGTTGGGTGGATTGGAATCTCGCTCTTAACTCGATTGGTGGACCTAACTGGGTATCTAACTTTGTCGATGCGCCAATAATTGTGAACGCTGAAAAACAAGAATATTATAAGCAACCGATGTACTATGCACTGGCTCATTTCAGTAAATTTTTGAAACCAGGATCAACCAGATTAGGTTTTAAAGTTACTAATCCAAATGATAATGTTAGAACGACTGTATTTAAAACTGACCAAAATCAACTTGTTGTTATTACTGTAAACAGTAATGATCATGCTGTCAACTTGACATTCGAAGGTTTTGCCGAAAATCCCATCGGTTTAACTCTCGGACCCCGTTCATTCCGAACACTTGTCATTAACAAAAGTTGATTAAACAAAATCCACACGACTCATCTTCCTGTTGTTATATTTTATTAATGCGATAATATAAAAAAAATATTAGAAACACTAACAAGACTCAATTATTCATGGTTATCTTTTCAAATAACAATTATTGGGGGATTACAGCAGAACGAACCAAGAGTTTTATTTTATTGAATTTGACCTGATTATTGAGATGAATATTGTGAATTAGATCTTACATCATTAATGTATTTTTGCAATAACAGAAATTGATTATCTGCCTCTGACCAAACTTGAAAGCATCTCAATTCTGTGTAGAATAAGATTTGCCTTTCATGTTGTTTGCGAACTCTTGTGATAAGACTTAATTTTGATGCATTATGCTGCCTCAATTCCTCTGAAGTTCCATTTTGATGTTTACTGGATCGGAATTTGCGCAGTTTTAATACAAGTTGAAAATGTGAAAACCTGTCTGTTCATGAGAAGACTATTTGCATTTTTCTCGCATGATTGTATTCAAAGATTTGATACTCGTAATCAAAACTAACAATAGTTTATTTTGAGTGCATATTTCAACAGGTGGTTTTCCCTATTCATTTGCAGATCCTTTTAAAAATTCATGGTTAAATCGTAGACCTTTAGATCAGACGTCAAATGAAAAAAACGGCCAGTATTTGACAAAATTCAATAAAATTTTTATCGACTATTTTTACTACATTGTATTGAAAGGGAATAATATTATGCAAAATGAATTTAATTGGTTTCCTTAAAAGCGTCAGAAATAAAATTAGGCATTGTAATGCTATTATTATTATTAATGTGTTGCGATATGTAAGTCCGATATTTAGGAGCCGATGGTAAACTTGACTTAGCACAATTATTGTACCATTTTCGGGCTGTTCCTTTCAAATATAGAGGAAGTTTATTCATTTTCATAACATAATCCCACCCGTGTGCATCAGCATTCGTTTCATATTTTTCGATCCAGTCGAGAAGATCTTAGCTATCATCACAGGATAATGGCCTGAATTTGAAGATCTTCAGTCGATCGTATGGCTGACGAACAACGTGCAAGGAAGAAACAGTTGGTTCGGGTTGCATTGTAATGATTGATGAGATGGTTTAAGCTTTATATGTGGGTACAGTTAGCAGGTAAGGAGTTTGTTTGGGAAAAATTTTTCAATTCAACTTAACGGAATGCAATTCCATTTCTTAAGTTTATTAGATGATGCTAAGAAGTTACAAGCTAGATGGTGATCGATTAGTAGGTTAACAAGAGCTAGCTCGTCTCACTATCAACTTGCTGTTGTTGGTGAACGGTTGTTGGTTTGAGGTTAGACGTCAAAGAATGAACTAGGATAACAAGGAAAGGAAACAAAGCTGGGCAGTATTGAAAAGCTTTAACTTTGATTTTTATTAAATGATTAGCAAAACTAACTACAATTCTGTTCAATTTGCTCTCTTTATTTATACCTAAGGAGTTGAAATTGATCTCTAAGTCGTTCCAGTCAATATATTTTAACAGGCAAAGGAACGAAATAGCGCAAGATATCACTGGATTAAGTAAGGCCTTTTAGTATTAGGTAAAAGGTTGTTTAGAGGTTAAATGGAGAGTAATAATTAAAGGTATCGAATACAATAGTTAAATTAGGTTGGTGAAAGGTAAAGACGTGAGGTCAGTGGAAGAGGGAATAGGTGATGTGGAAAAGAAAGAGTTGGCCATAACAGTCACTCATGACTTTGATTTGTAGTTTCATTTGAATAAATAAATCTTTCAGTAACTTAATGTACCAAAGTACATCCTTTGTGCACTTTGCAATGGTAACTTACTCTGCTTCAGTCGTAAACTGAGCAACACTCTTTTTTAAACGATATCCCCAAGAAATAGGTGAATTACCTGTAGTAACTACAAATCCTGAGGTAGACTTTCTTGTCTTGAATGTTTACACCCTTATCGATCCAAGTAAATCTGCGATCGATAAGGGTAAATTGTAAATGAATTAATGTAAAGGTTTAAAGAGAACAAAAATTTAGTTCAGTTAAGAACTCTCATGAAGGGAGTCAAATTGTCTTCATACTGGTGCCCGCAGTGAGGCTGAAATGCCAACAATAAAAACTCACTTTAACTGTCAGTTCCACTATTATTCAATTCCTTTATATAAAATCAGAAAAAAATGAATTTAGTGAATTTAATAACTATTAGGTAACCAAATAAGTTTTGATACTGATTCGGTTGAAATCATTAATTATCAATAAAATTTTGTTGAAACTACATTGATCAATCAAAATAGTCTCCATCGCTTTCTACGACCTTTTCCCACCTAGAAAGCAAATTTTCAATGCCATTCTTGACGTTGCGACCTCGGAATCTGATTGGAACTTTTGACCACGTAAAGCGTTGGACATTGACAAGAAAAGGTGGTAAACGGATTGAGCAATGTCTGGAGAATAAGGGGGTGAGGCAGAACTACCCATTGCAATTCAGCCAGCTTACTTTTGACCTTTTTCGCGACATGAGGTCTAGCGTTATCATGAAGATAAATGCCCTTTTGTCGTTTGACCAATGCTGGCCATTTTTCAACTAATTTTGCATTTACTCTTGTCAATTGGTCAACATAGAGGTCAGCGTTGATAGTTGCACCGGGTTCAAGCACTTCATAATGCAGCATCCCCCCTGGACACCACCAAACACACATAAGAAGCTTCCTCTGATGCAATCCATGTTTAGGTGTTAACCTTGATGCCTCACCTGGGTCCAAACAAGCATATGACCTCGTATTATTATCATAGAGGACCCATTTTTCGTCACTAGTCATTAAACGGTCAAGAAAAGATTCATTAAGTTCACGAGAAATGAGTGACAAAGCAATAGAAACCCTGTTTGCTTTTTGATCAGAGGTCAAATCCTATGGAACCCATTTGTTTAACCTATGCACTTTATCAATGGCATGTAGTCGCACTCTTATGGCCTCAGCAGTTACATCAAACTCTTGGGCAAGTTCGGAACAAGTCACCTCAGGATTGGACTCAACCTTGGCCTTCAGTTCACTTTCCGACACTGTAAATGGTCGTCCTTCCCTTGGTTTGTCTTCGATGCTGAGGTCACCAGATTTGAACTTTGATAACCATCTTTTCACTGCAACATTACTTATTGAACCCTCATGGAACGCTTTGATGGCCCTAGGGTAACAATCACCGGGTTTTGACCCTAATTTAAACTCATAAACTAAAGAAGCACGAATAAGTTTTTCACTCGACATTTTACCGTTGATCATTTTGATCATTAAATATGACCAATAACTGTTTATTAGTCATATCCTGATTACTAGGAAAACCAATAATTAAGATCAAATCCTTAATTGTTGAATTTTAATTGCATTTTGAAAATAGATCCAAATCGTATCAAAACTTATTTGGTTACCTAATAGTTAAATACTTTAACTTGTGTGAATTAAATAGTTTACATCTTAAACCAACCCATCAAAATTCTTGTTATACTCTGATAGTGAAAGAAATATATTGTAGTTATAAAATCACCACCATCATCTTCATCTATCGATATCTCAATTACATCTTATAAAAACGAATTTTAGTTATTATCTTCTAACATCATCAACAGCATCACCTTTAATCTTTGATTTTATTTATATTGGTTTGTTTCCTCCTAAGCCAATTGTGAAAATCACTAAAGAATACATTTATACTTATTGATATTCATGTGTTCATATGTATACTTAAATTTTACATCTTTAATTGGTGCAAGAAGTCCTTTATTTCCCATCGAAAATTAATGAAAATTGTGACTGAAGACAACAGCAGTAACAGAAAAGTAATTGTTTCACAATCACAGTGATTTTAGTTAAACCTAGTTTAAGTTAAGAAATGCTGAGCAGACTAATTGACTTGGTTTGCTTTCTGGGCATTGAAATTGTTTCATTAAAGTCATCATCATCTCACTATTATAAACTATTTACCAACTTACCATTAAATTATTGGTTAATTCAACAAAATTGTTTCACCTCGCTCCGTTTAGTTAACCATTAGTAAAATCGAACATTTACTGAAGCGACCATTACCAGCAAATAAAGGAGGATTTGATTGTTCAAATAGTCTTACCTTCGCAACTCTATTTCTCTACCCTGTTTTAGAGAACTAAATTTCAACAAAGATAAGACATTGGAAAAAGGTGAAACGAGACAATTCGCAACTCTATCTGCTTTGTTTAAAAGTGAATATCGATCGTCTTCTGAATCATATTGTATTAATCCTTTTTATACTAGATTCTTACTAGCTCCCTGCTTTTGGCTCACTTTAAAATTCATATAACAATTAATAACTGACAATGTGTGAAACTACTGATGACAATCAGATTAATTACTAGACTTTATAACTAAAAAGTGTCAATTTGATTAATGTGAAATGGTTTAACCAAAAGGTGTCATAATGATTAATTAACTTATGCCAATCACAAATAAAAATCAATAAAGTGACTTTTTATTTGTAACACATGCCGGCGACTATTGTGAACAGTCCCTGTTCTTTCAACCAGTCCTCAACACTTTTTTTATTGAGGTCTAGAAGTCTTACAGTTTCACCGTTTGGTACTTTCTCATGATCCTCTAATATTTGTAAGTACCTTCGGTATAAGCGAACAATATATCTTGCAACTAAGTCAGACTTCATCGCGTCCGAAAGAGCGTTCTTTAAACCTTTAGTTTCTAGTAAATAGAACCAGATAAATCTTTCAACAGGAACGTTTTCAAATAACGACCTGGCATTTACATGTTCAGTGTTATTAGTGAGTAAGTGGAGTAAATCGTTAGGGTTGATTTGAAGGCTATATAAGGTTTCATTTTTGATAATAGAACCTGTTATTGCAGTAAAAATGGTTCCAGATTCGAAATACCAAGGTTATAAAACGCAATTAGCACCTATATCGATTCCACTGAGCTCTCTGTACCAGCTGAACAATGACTGTTCTTTGCTGTTATACTAAAATATTAATTATAATTCAGACCTAATGGATTTAGCATCTACTTTAGATTGTATCGGCTACTATTCAAAAATCTAATTATATTATAACCATATTCTATCCAAATTTAGAT